TTGTAAGAAGATTCTGTGTGCCTTGATGTTCTGCTGGCGAGCAGTGTCACACCATTTATTAAGCCACCCGTTGGACCTTCGTTTAGGCACTTTCACTGTGTGAGGATGTATTCCTACATTCCGACGTGGATAATTTCGGTTATCGAAGAACAGACAGCCGACGCATTCGCGTCAGTGAAACAGACATATCTCCAAGGAAAGGTAGACTCCGGCTCCACACGTTGGCCCCAACGCCACTCGCCCAACGTGTGTATCTAGAAAATAGCGTTGGCCCCAACGTTGGAGCGACCGTTGGTAGTTGGCTGTCGATTGTCGGTTTTATCAAAGGAATCTGCGCCAACGTTGGCAATCCGTCCACATATTGGCTCACTGGCTCAGTCTTGTTGTAACACGCGACGAGTGCGTATGTGGAGATATGTCATCAACAACATCGCTACCCGCGTGGACAAACGAAAAAGTTGTAGAATTTTTAGAGTTATACCAGGCGCATCCAAGCGCTTAGAGCAATTTCGGTTTCGGTGTCGGACATCTTCACATTGGCTCTGACAGAAAGGAACTAGTATAATAACCAACGTGTGGACGCTTCACCAACTTAACCGACCAACGTTGGTACCAACGTTGGTGCCAACGTGTGGAGCCGGCGAGAGAAGAAGTCTCTAAGCCCCACCCAGTCGGCATATCCGTAATGCCAAGTCAAGCCGTCTGTACGAGTTTGTGCATCCACAGCGGGTTCTGACCGAAACCTAACCTCCACAACACCGTGGTCTGAGGGGGGACAAAACAGCAGTGCTCTAAGGGACAGGATGCGTAGTCAGAAAGAGATCCAGCAGGCTACTGACATGTGACGAGACGCGAGGGAAAAAGTAGGGCTTGTCACCAGCTCGGTCAGCCCTTGAGTAAGAGCGAACGTTTCGACTGCACGACCTGCTGCATCGGTCTTGTTTGAGCCCAACCAAAGCTCATCATGGGCATTGAAATCACCGATAAGAACTACCTCTGAATCGAGGTATTCAAGTAGATCATCCCAGTTATGGTCCGAGGGAGAGCGATAAAGACAGCAAATAAATTTGGGTGATGTTTTGGAGTTGAGGCGAAACCACAAAACGTCCATCCGGTCTGATTAAAAAAAATATCTTGATCAGGAAAGACTGCGGCGGACAAAAGCCACAACCCCCCGTTCTTTCTCAGATTGGAGTGCACCTCGTAATTTGGGAAGTTAAGATGGTTAATCGGTGCAGACTTGGAGATTTTTGTGTCCGCCAAGAAAAGCATGGAGGAACGATTGGACTGCAGGTAGTGATGAACAGCATCAATGTTGCTGTTAATCCCGCAGATGTTCGTAAAACAAATTTTATCTTCGATGTTGTTCCCTCGAGCCCACCCTCCACCTGGATATTCCAAGAGTGGAGTGAGTTTACGTTCGGAATTCTTAGTGCTCGAGAAATCCATCATCATTAAATTCTTTGTTTTGGAAATAACCGACTGCATAGCTTAGGTGTGGAAACATACGGACATTTATAAGACACCCTGGGAAAAGCTAGCGGATGGTAACGCCTCGGTCGACTGGTCCTTGTCCACCACCTTCTTTTTGCATGTTAATGATATTAAATAGACCTAAAGTGGCCTGTTGGCGGACTTGTACAAATATTTTGAAGGACCATAGGTAAGTTCTAAGGACCAACAAAATATAGGAATTTATTTGAATTTAACTTTTTGTAATTACTTTTAGGTTTTAGAGCGCACCCATATCATGTCGTTTTGCACCAGACCTTGAGGCGGAAGACTTTGACCGGAAGTTGGATTATTGCCATTGGATGTTAGGCATGACACGCAAAAATAGAGAATTTATATTTCAAATTCTTTGGATCGATGAAGCCACGTTTAATAGGGGATGGCAGAGTCAATCTGCTCGTTATGCATTATTAGTCTGCAGAAAATCCGCATTGGTTGCGTGAAGTTCAGCGCCAAGGGCGTTGGAGTTTAAATATGTGGTGTGGCATACTGGTCAACAGAATTATTGTGCCAAATTTTTCCGAGCAATCCCTAAATGGCAATATTTTTCGTGACTTTTTGGACAATCAGTTACCGTTTTGTTGGATTACGTGCAACTGCATACACGGCCAAACTTGTTTTTGCAGTTGGATGGGTGCCCAGTACATTTTGTTATTAGCATAGTAATGCAGTATTTCAACAGCGGTGGATTGGAAGAGGAAGTCTGTTCCATGACCTATTTGCATTTGACTGACTATTTGTTTAAAATTAATTTGGTTTGATACTATTTTGAAAAGATAATTATACCGGCAAGTTTTTGGTGTATTTATTACGCTAATTATCTTGGCAATCCTGATTTCTCGGAAGGCAAGTTAATTTTATTGTGAGTGGTAATTTTGCATTTTTTACAGTTGTATCGGTACAAACTATAAACATTTATTTAATTCTCACGCGCTTCTTACATAATATCAAGGACAAAAGGTTCAATTTCTGGTAATTGTTAAGAAACTACTGATTTTTAAGCTTTAGGCCCGTATCGTTAGTCGGTCCTACAATTGTAGGGCGCCTTTATGGCCTCCTTGATTGTCATAGTTTTCTACTTTTCCGTGTCAGCGCTATATTTTGAGGTTATGCCACAAATATCTATTTGCATTAAATTGTGCTTGCTTTTGAGTTATATCATGTTTTATCAGCCTGAAATTTCCTACAGTTTAAAAAGAAAACATATCTTCACAATAGAAGGTGCTGATGCTGACATGGGACAGGTGCAATCTAGAAATTTTTGAAGGGGAGAAAGGAGTATGACAATCAAGGAGGCCATAAACGCGCCCTACAATTGTAGGAACGACTGACGATACGGGCTTTAGAAGGGGTACGGCGAATTAACGGTAACCCTGTATGAAATTGGCTTTAGTATAAATGACTCAAAGCCTAACTTTATGGAAATAAATAGCAGACAAAAAGGATGACGAATACAAATGGGCGATGCGGACTGGCATCCTCCAGCAAGACTCTGATGAATGGAAGAACAGAAGATCGATTCCGATATCTGAGATGATGCAAGCTAGCAGGACTTACGAAGGCGACAAGGCAAATTCTTTCGCTGAAGAAGGGCTGACCAGGACTATGGCCTCTTTGGTGCCGGACGAGATACTTTACAATATCAACGACTACACCAAAAGAGATTTGGAAGCTTGCCTGCTTTTCGGTGATGTTTCAGGTAAGGTCAGGAAACTCATGACATTTTCACTACTATACAATGACCTATCCACATTTTGCGAGGGAGGGTCACTTTGTTTACAGATGTCTCGTCAATTACAGTTTTGGGATGAAATATTGAGAAACTGCTGGATAACATCAAGGTAGTGTTAGATGACATATGTGCATGGTATCAGCGCAATAGGTAATCCTGAATGAGAACAAGTCATTCATTATAAATTATACAATTCAGCGATCACTTCCCAGATAAATGATCAGTAACTTTCAGATTACTCAGTGGGTCCTCCAGCTGAAAAGCATTCTCGATCAAAATGATGTGTTGACTATGTATTCTAGCCATAGTTATTCTTATGTCATGCATTATAATTATTGTTTTGAGACTCATTTACAATATAGGGCCACTGAAAAGTTGTCGACAAGTTTCAAAATATAATAATAGTGGTATAAAACGCACGAGAATGTATACTCAGTGACATTAGAAGTGTTACACCCAGAAAAAATAATTTCTTCAACTTGATTTTTTGGCAATAAGGTAGTCCTACGTTAAGAATGAAACGATAACATTCTCACGAAATTTTATTGACAAGTAATAATAAAAAAAATAATAATAAAGTGTTGGGCGACCACGCAGCTAAATAAACTCCTGTATACGTCTAGGCATAAAAAAATGAGATGATCGATGTCTGGTTATGGCACCTCATTTCAAGCAACTCGAACTTCGTGGATCAGATCTGACATAGTCTGTGGCGGATGGTGCTATGTGGATAGTCTCCTCCCCATCATATCACACACATGTTCGATGGGATTTAAATCCGGTGAACAGGGTAGCCACGGCAAAACGTTAACGCCTGCTTCTTGAAGAAGGTTCGTAGTATGACGAGTGATATGGAGACGTGCGTTGCTTTGCTGTAAAAGGACATGTGGACGGCCCTCTACATACGGCTGTAAAGTGGTTTGCAGGACATCATCAACATAACGCGTAGTAGTCATATTGCCTTGAACAAAGAAAAGGGGTGATCGCCTACCATAGGCAATAGCATCCCAAACCTTTACTTCAACACACCTGTGTTCATGCTTCTCAACAGCAAATCCAGAATCACGTCGTTCTCCAATGCGGCGCTTTACCCTTCTACGACCATCGTGCGTACATAGACAGAATCGCGATTCGTCGTTGAAGATGACATTATGCCATTCTGCTTCCCAATGTTGCCGTTTTCTGCTCCAGTTCAAACGTTGATGACAGTGGTCCGCTGACGGAGGAAGCACTAACCGTGGACGGTATGAAAAAGGTCCAAAGGCTCAAATGCGACGATAGAGTGTACGCATAGTAACAGGTATACCTTCTTCTCTAAACCATTGGTCAGCGATATGACGCATAATAACAAAACGGAATCGTAGGGCTAGTTGTCCGAAGCGCCTAGCTTGAGGCTCTGTGGTACGCCTCGATGGACCAGTTGGCCTTCTTCGCGTTCCTCTACCTTCTTCTATCCACACATGACTCGCACGTATTACCGTCATTACAGTACAATTAACATGCCAATTTCGTGATAGTACAAACCAATATCTCGATAGGCAATAATTCTACCCCTGTCAAAGTCGCTAACATGGTGATAATTTGGACATCTTAGAACTCGATTCATGTTGTTATGCTTAACAATAGTGAATGAAAGGGCAGTACCTAAAAGTATCTGTACTACTCAGCTCTTAGAAACCGCCTTCTTCATAAAAACTAAGAGATAACTTTTTTACAAAGGTAAATAAAAACAAAGTTAAAATGTTGATGTTGTTGACACAGCATGCTCTAAATATAGTCATTATGTTGCCAAAAACACAAGCTGAAGAAATTATTATTTCTGTATGTAGCACTTCTAATGTCACCGAGTATATAAGCAAATCTAGTTTTAATGGTAAGAGATTTCGTATCGACACCTGCAACATCAGCGTTCATTGAAAGGAAATTTTGTAGAGCCGCACTGACCACGGAATCCCGCAACAGATTACGCGATAAATCCGGTAGATGGTTAGCGAATGAAAAGCTAATTCAGAATTTTTCGTTTTTTTGGGTCAGCTGATATTTTTCTTGATTAGGTTCACAGTTTGATTATTATTTTATGTGTTCTTCAGTATCTATACCGAGTGTTTCAAATTCGACCCTCACCATTGGGACCTCGGAAACGATAAGAGATACGTAGCCACTTGAATAGGGATAACGTTGCGTATTCAGATACTAACTAACAAATGCCGCTTAGAAAGTTTTGAAATTCAAAGTACTTCCGGAGAGAGACGAAAATAAAACGAATTTTCCCAAAATGTTTTCATAACTTTGTTGTGTGATTTCAAAATAAACTGCACATTAGCATTGCCACTTTTTCTCCTCTACAAGATGACATGATTAGAATTTCAATACGACGTTTCGTCTCTTACCTTCCAGCAACAACTTTATTTTTTCTTAAGGACGCCATACTGGATTTTGGATTGGTCAAGTAGCTTTTGAGAATTTCCAATTGCTTATCCCAAAACACTTGTTTTCCGGCCATCACTACTAGTTTATTGAGCAATATACATGGTTAGTTCAAAGTGCACTTTATAGCAAAATACACTAGTTTACCTTGCCGATATCAATCACAAACCATTTCGGAAGATAAATGTTTTCATGCGAAAAAAAGGATGGGTTACGTTTTTTCTTCTAAACAACTTCAAATGTTCAATGTTCGTATTCGTGAGTAATTCGCAACACTAAAAACGTAATCTTTATTTTTTGGATAAAAATAACATTTATCTTTCGGAATGCTTTGTGATTCATATCAGCAAGGTAAACCGTGTATTTTGCTATTAAATACCCTTTGAACGAACCCTGTATATTGCTCAATAAACTAGTAGTGATGGCAGGAAAACAGGTGTTTTTGGATAAAAAAAGAATTTCTCAAAACACGTTTTCTTATTCTTTGTTGTCAAATAAAAAGCTTTCCCACAAAACTTGATGTACCCATTATATGCGTCCATGTTTTAAATACCTCATTGAACAACTGTCACTAATAAAACTAGACTTTACAATTATTTCGGGGAAATTTTCTAATATGATTAGACTAATTTGTCGTTTCCTGACTTTATTTTGGATAGGATTTCAAAATAAATTGCATGTTGTCATTGCTACTTATTCACCTCTACAAATTGGCATAATCGAATTTTCAATTAGAGGTTTTTCTTTCAACACTCACCACCAATTTGTTTTTTCATATGGACGCTACATTGGAATTTTGTGTTGTGTTAATTGGACTTTCCAGTCCTAAATTCCGTGATGATTTTGCTTTGTTGGCCTTGAGTTTGTTGTCGGCATGAAAATTATAACGAAATAAAGAGGTATGGTGAAACCTGAACACAAAATAAAATTTTTATTGATGGTAATAACAATAATAATCAAAAATAAGCAGGAGTAAATCATAACAGATGTTCAAAATGTTGTCCGTTATTTTGAAGGCAAAGCCTGACTCTTCTCTGTACATTATTCACTGTCCGATGTATTCCCCTTCTTCTCAGTATTCCAAACTCTGTTACTATGATCAATTTCAGGTCTGGTCTGGTATACGAAACAAATGGCTATGATAATTTATTTATAATTGGATATTCTGTTTTTTTAATAACAGGTTTGTCAATGTATGACATATTATACAATATGGCGCCCTTAAGAAAAAATGAAGTTAATGCTAGATGACAACAGACGAAACGTTATATTGAAATTCTAATTATGCCATCTTGTATAGGAGATAAAGTGTCAATGCTAATGTGCAACTCATATCAGCATCCCACTACAAATAAAGTCACGAAAAAATTTTTTTCACCTCTCTCCGGAAGTACTTTGGATTTCAAAACTTTGTGGCATTTTTTAATGAAGTTCTTGTTTAATGAAGACGGACTTCCCAACAAAGGTGTTAAACATATTGTTGTATGTTTACAGGTTTCACTGACCTTTGTGAAAAATACAATAAATCTGGAAAGGGTGGCCCTTCTAGATTAACTCAGGTATTGAATTCGTACATTGGTGCTATGGTTCAAGAAATATTATCCCATAACGGAGACGTGTTGAAATTTTCTGGGGATGCCTTCATAGCACTGTGGAAGGAAACCGATCATTTGTCATTGAGGTGAGTTGCAACTATGATATTCAATAATTATTTGAGTTGGATTCTGCATTGTTTGATCTGATAGAACTGAAGAAATATTGAGAAACATTGAATAACGTCAAAAGTTAGAAAATTCAACTTTATCGTTCAATATACAAAATTATTTCAGTTAATCGGCACAAAACATATGGAATTCATATAGTGATATGTTGTGCTGATCAAATCTTTCCAGCGTGCTAAAATTTGGTGCTGTTTTCACTTTCGCAGCAGTATATTCTGGTAATAGATGGCACCTTGTGCTATCTTATTTTGTACCTTGTACTTTGAATAGAGTAGAGTTGCTATGCATTTATCCGTTGTCCACCGAGACCAAGCCTACATCATACTGAGGAGTTGATAAATAGCCCGAAACAGCTCTCCATGGTAGGCCGTCTGAGGTCGGATGAATGAAAGCTATATTAAAGCTTGGTGCCTTAGCGTCTGTGGGTACGTGCCAGTTTTCGAAAACTAACTCGTCTTTAATATTATCAGGTAATTTAACGATATAATAAAAATCAGAGTGTCACAGTGAAAATAGAAAACTCTTTAATAGAAAGATAATTATATTAGATATTTGGAAAGAACTTTCCAAAACAAGTTTAAGAAGTTTAATATACGGGGCCTCGGTTGGCCGCGTTGGTCAGAGTGTCGTGCTACTGATCAGCCGGCCGGCCGGGCCGCGAGTTCGAATCTCGCCTTCGCCATGGATGTTGTGACGTCGTGTGTTTGTCCATAATTATAGAAATATATAAAATATCCAACCTATTTAGTTTCTGGCTGCATGGCCTAGTCCTAAAGCCAAAAAAAAAAAAGTTTAATATAATCCTCTGTATAATTTTGATCTGCCATTTATTAAACTATTTTATCATTTGCCTGAAGAAATGCATATACTTAAAGGCGTTGATTTCTGCCATTTTGTGGAGTTGTTCACTGAATTTTGGAAAGAGGATAAAAAGTACGCAAACTTTATCAGGGCGCTGTAAAACGCAAAACGTTGTTTTCCTCAAAAATTAAATCGACTATCCCATATATTTTTACACCATCATATTCGTGTTTTTCAGAATGGTCATCTAATTTTACGTTATAAAATATAAGGTGTTTCATTAATAATTGAAATTAAAAAAATGTTTATTGTATACAGGGTGTTTCAGTTGATTGTTGCATAACTTTAAGATTCGATAGAACTTTCAAAATTAATGCATAAAGTCTATATAAACATGGGTCGAAAAATGCGCGACTTCCGAAATACAGGGTGTTTAAATTTACTTTCTAAAATAGTTTTTTTAAATATTTCGAACAATATTTGATTTATAACAGTGAAAATTGGTATACAAGGGTTTTTTGGTACGACAAAACGAACCATCGGCATAGTTTTACTGTAGCCGCTAGAGGGCGCTCTCTACTGTACCTGTAGTGTATTAAAATGAACATTTTTTCTTAGTGCAATTTTTTGCTTTTTGAACAAAAAAACTCATTCTTCGCACTTTTCAACATTAAAAAGCTCTCTTGTGAATTTTCGTTATATTTAGCCGTTTTTGAGATATTTCGATTTTCAAGGTTTGATGCATTTTTAATTATTTATGATAAAATAACGTTAAAAAATCAGTATCTCGATAATTTTTAGAAGTAGGCTGGGCCTGCAAACATGTTTGAAATTGAAAGCAGAATAAGGTTAAACGTCAATTAGTTGACAGTTAGTTTTGTTGTCTGTTGAAACCTGAAACGTTTTTTTGCAAATGTGATTGCACGAAATTTAGTTTCTTTTACCTGTTTTTTTTTGTAAGTTTTATAAAAATGCCATTTTTTTCTCCAATCAAGAGTTAGCGGATATTAATTTTGTGTATGGCTTTGTAAATGGAAACGCAGCAGAAGCAGCCAGAGAATACGCACGAAGATTTCCAAACAGACGACATCCAACTCGCTCAGTATTTGTAAGAGTGCATCGCCAAATAATTGAAAATGGTTTTGGAAACCTCCAAAGGGATCGAAACATAAATGTTCGTCAGCGCAGATTTACCCGTATGATTCTGCGTGAGTTTGATAGAGATCCGACCACAAGTGTTAGGAGAGTTTCTGGTGCCTTGGGAATTTCAGCAAGCCATGTTCACCGTGTTCTTAGAAATGACCATAGACGTCCTTACCATTTGCAACCTGTGCAAGGACTACAGCCAGGGGACGGAGAACGAAGAATCACATTTTGTCAGTGGATTCTTGATAGGACTGATAATAATAGGGAGTTTTTAAGTAACGTTTTATGGACCGATGAGTCATGCTTCACTAGACGTGGAGTGGTAAATTTTCATAATCAACATATTTGGTCGCATGAAAATCCGCATGCAGTTCGGGAAAGAAATTTTCAGCATGAATTTAGTGTGAACGTGTGGATTGGTATTTACCGTAATCGACTATTTGGACCCTACCTTTTGCCTGCAAGGTTAAATGCTGCGACCTTCTTGGAATTTTTAAAGGCTGAACATGCAAATATGTGGGATGATGTTATGTTAGATTTAAGAAGATTGGTCTGGTTCCAGCTTGATGGTTGTCGAGCTCATCATTCGAGAATAGTTAGAAATTGGCTGGACGAAAATTATCCAGAAAGATGGATCGGCCGTGGAGGACCAGTCGCCTGGACTCCACGATCCCCTGACCAAAATCCATTAGATTTCTTTGTGTGGGGATTTCTAAAAGAAAAAGTGTACCAGACTCCCGTAACCACAAGAGATATGCTAATAGACAGAATCAGGAATGCATGTGATGAAATAAGGCCTTATTTGAATAATGCTATACCACGTTCGATCAGTCGTAGATGTGAATTGTGTATTGAACAATTGGGTTTACATTTCGAGCAACTACTTTAGATTTTGTATGTTTGTCCTAACTATCCAATAGCATTTTCGTTGTAAATAATTAATTTAATTTGTTAAAAATAATATTGGAAAATTAAACAAATTAATATTCTGTTTTTTTGTGTTTATTTGGAGTTAGGAATTATAGCTGTATTTAAAAACACAATCTAAACGATCACCTTAATTACTTGTAATGCCCAAATTTAAATATCTCAAAAACGGCTAACTATAACGAAAACTCACAGGAGAGCTTTTTTATGTTGAAAAGTGCGAAGAATCATTTTTTTATTCAAAAAGCAAAAAATTGCACTAAGAAAAATTTTTCGGTCATTTTAATACACTACAGGTACAGTAGAGAGCGCCCTCTAGCGGCTACAGTAAAACTATGCCCATGGTTTGTTTTGTCGTACCAAAAAACCCTCGTATATCAATTTTCACTGTTATACATCAAATATTGTTCGAAATATTTAAAAAAAAACTATTTTAGAAAGTAAATTTAAACACCCTGTATTTCGGAAGCCACGCATTTTTCGATCCATGTTTATATAGACTTTATGGATTAATTTTAAAAGTTCTATCGAATCTTAAAGTTATGCAACAATAAACTGAGACACCCTGTATATCCAAATAATTTAGAAATGACTTTTTCGAATATGTTTTATGGTTTCTCTATTAAATGACTTTCCGTTGTACTTTGGGCACCCTATATATATTGTATGTTCACTCAGGCTTACCCACAGGAGCTAAGGCACCAAACTTTATCACAATGTATCTCCAACAGAAAGCACTTCTGGACTTTACGCCTATTGAGACATTTGATCAGCCCAACATAAACTATCGTTGTAGGAATTTTCACAAAAATTGACCGGTAATCAAATCCCATATGCTTTGTACTTTGTATATCAATTTAAATGTGCATTTTAGAGATGCTGTACATGAAGCAATAGATTGTGCTTTAGTGATACAAAAAAGCTACGGAACTTATCAGACTGATGTAGATGTCGTCGTAAGAGGTGAGTTAAGATAAATTCGAAATGGCGTCCTGATAGGGCTGGAACATTTGCTGCTATTTTGATAAGCGCGTCTGATCGAGAATCTCGAGTACCATCGATCCAATGTAAGATGTAACAGAAACACTTTTGCAGGAAATTAAATTCTTCATCATTTTGCTCATATAAAATTCACCGCATTTTTGCTTTATTGAAATTTTAAATATTAAGCTTAATTAATTTGTTAGTAACAAAGTAATCACAGAATGAAAGAATCACTCCTTAATGCAAAAAAGCAGTTTTGAAAAAAAATTTACTTGACACCTTTATCCACACAATATAATATTGAAGATACAATATTATATTCTCTACTAAAATGACAGTAGTCGTTATATACGCTTAGGTTGTCAGTTTAGCTGCTTTACGCGAAAATGCCATTGTACCTTTACCCTTAAATTTCAGGAATCTGTTGACTATACATTACTATTTGAGATAAATAACAAAGAATGTAATTTACTACAAAATTGTTTCTAAATAAGACAGATCAAAGCGCCATCTATCACACCAGAATCGACCACTCCAGAAAGTGTATAGGTGCTAATAGTTGGAACTGTTAGGGATCTCAGTTCACTTTAATAGCCACCACGTGACCGCTATATGGCTGACGATTCTGACTGTAAAGTAGATGTGGTTTACTTGCCATTGAATGAACTGAAACATGATGCTTTCGTCGGTCCGACCAAAAGGGCACTTCATCCATGGTCAGCTGTTTCGTGCTTCTCGGCTACTCATCAGCATGGTCTAGGCTTGGTCTCTTGTCTCTAAGCCCCACGGTACCTAATGGGTGTTTAGGCCTTAGGCCTTTGTGGTAGTTGGAGTATAAAAAAAATTAATTAACTTCCTAGGTAGGCAATGAAATTATCAGATAGTTATTTGTTTGGTATAACGGATTTATAGAAAAATCCTTTGTTATTTGGTTGGTTTTTGGCTTGTTAGGCCATCGTAAAATATGTTTACTTGACGTTTCGCCAACACAAGTGGTTGGCATCTTCAGAAGATGTTCACAGTTCGGAGTTCTGTGAGCTACTGTACTGACAAGCATAGATTCAGAATACCCGTACGTTGACGAACAAAATTTCGAGGTGGCGAGACGAAACTAAAGAACGTATTTCTGAGCTGACACAAACAAACGTTCCCGCACAGAGGCAGACGTGCATAAGTATGTGTGAGGGAGATTTATCTATAGAAGTAATGCCGGTGGTTTGACCCGTTATAGAAACGTCAGTTGTATCCATAGCAGCCGCCCAAAACTTCGCGTCACGCGTTGAAAGCGCGACGTTTTTATTGTTAGTGTAGTTAGGGGAAAACCGGGACAGTTTCGCAGTAAGGAGATATCAACCATTCAAAATATTAGCCACATGCATCTAGCTAATAGACCTTGACAAATGACAAACGCCTGTCTATTGGTGTTCTTTACGCTCATGTGACAAGATAGTTTAATCCAGTTTGGTTTATATGTTACAGGAGAACATAGGTTTTGGCACCTGGTAAGTAAAAATTGATTTCTTGCTTATTAATTTATATTTGTTTGGTACGACTGTGTCCCACTAATATATAAATTAATAGACGGTTACTGCTGTTCCGTACTGATTCAGCAAATGCTTATGACCTCTTCTAGTTTCTTAAGAAACTGTCAACAAATTCATTGGCGGGGGTGAACCTATCTACTCACGTAGTAGCGGGAGACCTTATCCGGGAGTATTTGCGCCCACCACTGGAAATCTGTATTATATTAAATAATTTTGGAACAATAATGCACAATTTAACGAAATTTTAAAGAGATAGTGACGCTTATGATCATGTCCATTAAAAACAACTGATTTAGATCTTCAAGGACTTGAACTAGAACTAAACGAAATATTGCCGATACACCCTCTATAATAGTGATACAAAATTATATTTTTAGAAATTCCCTTAGCTGAAAAATGCATAATGCTTGATTTTGTTGAAATGTCTGATAAAAGCCAAAAAGTTGGCTGAGGGATCTCAAAATGTGTATCTTTGGGTCGCTGATCACGAATGTATCAGAATTACTATATTTTTAAACAAGACTGCACTTTCCAAAAATTCAAATATGATCAAAATTTAGACTTTGAAAGAATATCATCGCTAAGCCTTTTCATTGTACACACAAAACGTTTTTATGGAAAGTATATCAAAACTGTATTTATTTTATTTTTCAGAACAACCAACGAACATGCCATTGTGCAAACACAAACAGAACAACAGAAATAGACAAAGGAAAGTCCATTAGGAAAGTGGACATAATGTTTGCCAACTTGTATACTTGTATTTTTGTTGATTTTATCTGTCTAAGATTGTACATTCTAATAAACGATGTTAGTTATAAGGATCTTTGATTACTACTGAACACTAACTCAGGGTAAACTCTCTCTACATCTGTAGTAATATCTCCCAGCCCACTCTGGAGATATTAGCCAAATGTCACGGTCAATAAAACTGTCCTCTACTTTCAGAGAAATATGTAAGATATCCACATGAGTCTTTAAGTACAGTATAGGTTACTAACTATGCTTCATTATCCAATTTTAGTAATGGCAATACGTTCATTCCACATGAAAATATATGCGGTCTTATGCGGAGAACGGGTCAATTGTCCCGGTTTTTCCCTGTCAGTGTGTCATCATGACTTACAATTGGTCATATGACCTATGTTTTGTACTAAATAGCATATCAACTTATATCTACGTATCACAATATTATTTTAGTGAAATTGGCGGTAGCTGCTGGTCACCTGGTATTCTCCCTGATCGGGGATGATGAAAATTCCCACTATCTGATGACCGGCCAGCCAATCTACGATATCAAAGCAGCGGAATCGAAAAGCAAAGCAGGCGAAATCATTATTACTGCTCGAGTATCACATCACCTCAGTGCTAACGAGTATTTGATTGATCTATTGTCTGATGGAATACATGCAAAGGTCGGTCTTATTCTATTCTATCTTCACTCTATCGGTACAGGGGCATGGTCCTGACATCGGAGTATCCTACACTTCGGTTATGAAAGACCAACGAATTCGAACTAGGTAGAAGGAGTATTTGTGTAGCAAAAATTATATAGCTTAGTAGCCAGGATGCAACTTCATATTACAAGTCGATCAGGCTTAACCCGCCAATGTGACAGACAGTGAATTCGAATTTTTCTGCCAAAACATAAAAGTGCGTGGGTTCAATCATAGTGTTACAGAATCTTCTTTACTGTGAACGTTTCAGTCACAAAGGTGATCTTCAGTACAATAGCAATCTATTTGATTTATCTGTCGCCCAGGTGACAGTTGCTCGCAACTTGTGTCGCCGGGTATTGACATTTAAGAGTGGTCATGTTTACAGCGTGCGTAGCCAAATGTTTTGAAAGCCATCAAGTTACCAATAATTCAAGTGCTATGCGTAAATGCTTCTCTGTGCCCGTTTACATCGAGAGTTATCTGCTATACTAAGTGACATATAAATCCGAACACCCAGTTTAAATGGTTTTATTTTAATAAAAGTTGGTGAATGTATTTATCTTACTGTAAATAACAAGTGAAAAAAGTTTCAGCCTTATCAGTTGGACATTCCGGTTTTTATACTGCTTTTTTTTAATTCACTAACGCTCTAAAAATGAATATTTCAGCCGCATTAAAGAATCAACGTTGGCGGATTTTGGTTCTTGACATCCTTTACGATCGGTTACGATGCCTAGAGTACGGAGACCTGTACGATTTCGTCAACTTAGTGAGTTTGATAGGGGCCGTATAGTGGGACTTCGGGAAGCTGGACTTTCTTTCCGGGCAATTGCAGTTAGAGTGGAAAGAAGTGTAGACACGGTGGTTAGGTGTTGTCAGGCATGGCTTCGAGAAGGCCGTACGCAAAGAGCAAGGGGCACTGGACGCCGCCTTAGAACAACAGACCGTGAAGATCGCCGCCTAAGATTATTGGCCTTAAGGGACCGTTTCTCCACTACCAGGTCCATTGCAAATGAATGGTTTGCAGAACACGGAAGACCTATTGGCATGCGAAGTGTTTACCGACGAATGAGAAGTTTTGGCTTGTTTTCATACCGGCCACACTGGGTCCTCCCTTTAACTCGAGAACACCGACGTAATCGCCTTGAGTGGTGCAGACAACGGTCGCTCTGGGATCAGGAATGGAACAGTATTGTCTTTAGTGACAGTCTCGATTTTGTTTAGGCATGCACGATGGTCGTGCCAGGGTTAGAAGGCGACGTGGTGAAAGGAGGAATCCACAGTTTTTTGTTGAAAGACATGTTCATCACACTGTTGGAGTTATGGTTTGGGGTGCTATAGCTTATGGTTCCAGGTCACCTTTAATCTGCATCAGAGGTAACATGAACGCGCAGCGTTATATCCACGAAGTTCTAGAACCCCATCTTTTACCCTATCTTGACACCCTGGCAGATCCAACTTTCCAACAAGATGATGCCCGACCACATGTTGCAAGAGTCACAATAGACTTCTTTCAACATAATGATGTCACATTGTTACCATGGCCACCAAGATCTCCCGACTTATCCCCAATTGAGCACGTGTGGGATATGATGGGTAGGAGATAGCTCAATTTGCAACGTCCTCCTCAGACTCTAGAAGCACCTCGAGAGGAGTTGGTGGTTGCCTGGAATGAGACCACAGGAGGACCTTGACCACCTGATCAGAAGCATGCCTAGGCGCGTTGGAGAATGCGTAGCACATCAGGGTGCATCCACACATTATTAAAAGTCAAAGGGCTTTAAAGCAGTGCAATCATTTTGAAATTTTTATCATTTACTTATTATGCTTCATTAAGTACTTATACAAAATTTTATTAAAATAAAACCATTTAAACTGGGTGTTCGGATTTATATGTCAGTTAGTATATATAAATGCTTGTCTGACCACTGTATAAACGTACCCAGTCCCTTTTGACTCTATTGTTGGGTGTTGATGTTGTGCGGCAAACCTTTGCGTGCATAAATTGCATACATTTTTATTTTCTACATGATTACGAGAGAGCTGGTGATATATTATATGCCAATAATAGTGTCACGATTGACAGAGGAAGTTTTGACTTTTGTTCAAAAGTTACATTTTGCCTATCATATATTCATTAGCTGATTTTGAACATTGTTACGTGATATCCTTGTGTTATATATATTTACAGGTGCTTGGAGTAGGTCCAAACTGGCGAAATATTCAAAGAACTTACGAGAACAAAGAAGGAAGTAAGTTCACATATTTATACAGGGTGTCCTAGAAGTCGGCGTCAAGCCGGAAACGATGGATAGGCCAAGTCATAATAGTTATTAGAAAAATATAAAAAAAAAGTCGTGTACTTTTCAAATTATAGGCTACACTCTGTGATGATCTTTTAGTTCCCATTACTACAAATTCTAATTTTTTTAGACGGGGTGACACACAGAGAAATTCTTTGTAGTGAAAATAAGACAGGTAGTAATGCAACTTTTATTAATTCGTGATTGTGTTTATTAAATTCACAATAAATGTTTAAAAACTGCCTTTCTCCAGCAGCAATGCAAGCTTGACATTTTCTTAAAAATGGTCGGGTTATGAGACGGCCGAATCTTCAGGTGGCCACGAAATTGTACGAGACCACCATCTCGATTTGCTTGCGTATTCCGGATCAAGATACTTTCTACCTGAACGGGCTTTGGTAAATGATTTTGTAAAAAGTGTAATTCCGCCATTCAAGATATCTGCCAGCTCAAAGGGTACAATGATTATCTCATTTAGAATCCCGGTCTACATGTTTACTTTAAAACGATACTGTGATTGATCTAAATTTGTGGACAGTTGCTTTGCAACATGGCAAATTTTGCCCAAATTCAAATCTCGATATTTTCGGAACTGAAAAGTTATATCTAAAATTTTTCTAAAGTTGGCTATAACTCAAATTATCGAATCTTTAACTTCCCGCAATAAATGTCTTTCGGCTCCACCAAGTATATTTTTTGGATTACCCTCTCCATACAAATATGACGTGTCTCCGGTGTCATCCTAACTACTTACATCTCAAACATGCAATTGCTAAGTAACAATAATGACTCGACAGTATAAATTTGTACCGCGGTGATTCTAGCTACAACGGGCACCCAGCAACAAACGGTAGTCCCTATTCTCACCAGCGGCCGCGCCGCGCTGGACACCATCGCGCGTCGCTACAGCAGCGAAGCCGGCGCAGCGTAAGCAGGCGGTGCGGCACCGTCTTCCCATGTAAAACGGTGTTATAGTATCTACACATAATTATATACATCGTGTGTTGTCAGTGTTATCACACTATCTATTACATTCAGTGGCCGGGGCATATTAAGCCTACCAGAGGGAGCGAAAGTTACCTATACGAAACGCACTGGGAAATTTGAAAATTAAAATTCTCAAAAATTTTTCGAAAAGAACGAGAGATTTGTATTAGATTATTGGGAGAAGGTCTCAATATATATTGGTTAAGGCCTAGATATCAGGATACCGGGAAAACGTCCTAATTGCATGGATGAGGTTATAAAAAAATACGATGTTGGGCCGAAAAACATTTATTGCAGGAAGTAAGGCGAAGGATCCTTTCATTCAGAACCTTGGATGAAAACTTACGGCGACACAGTGGAATAATGGCATCCAGTCGTACTGTATGAAGAACTTTAGATTCTAATTTGTTAAGGTATGTAAATGATATACAAATTTGTTAGGTACTTTTTTAAATTAGCATTTTTTCCACACCAAGCATCGCGCCAAGTGTCCCCAACTGTTGAACAATCATAGAGCCGCCAGGTACCAATGGGCACAGAAGCGGGTATATTGACATCAGCAAAGAATAAATCGGCATCAGCAGAGGCAAAATTGCATGTTTTCCGATAAACCACGCTTCAACCTATACCACTCTGATGGTAGGGTTCTTCCTTGGAGGCAAGCTGGGGAACGATATGATGAAGAATACATGGCTCCATAAGAGGCGTTTGGTGGAGGTGGCATCAATGTTTGTTCTGGGGTTATGCATAACGTTAAAACCGAATTTTTTATTTTAAACAGGAAAGTTAATGCTGCAGTTAGGGACAGCATTGTAAACAATATTGTTGTATCGTTTGCACAAGATTTTGGGTAGAATTTTGTCTTCATCGATGATAACGCCAGGCCACACTGAGCCATCAAAGGCTCCAGACCTAAACATAATTAAGCATGTGTGGTCCCGGCTAAAATTTTTAGTGCGGTTAAGGCAAAATACTGAAACAATATAAGAGCAGTCTGAGGTCATTCAGGAAGAATGGGAAAACATATACAGATAATTTATTAATAACCTGCTGGAAAGTATGCCACGAAGATGCCAGGCTGTGATCGATGTACGGAGCGGCCCATCAAGGTACTAGCAATATTGTTTAAAGTAAGTGTTGCTGTTTCGTAAACATGCCGAATGAGGAATAAAAGATCCAGATAAAAGGTGGAAAATACTTTTTTAAAGCTATTAGCACTTCTTACCAAACCAAAAAATGCTTTTGGTGTTACGCCACTGGAATGCGCCCCTATATTAAGAGTGGTTACTTGGATTTATTCATTAAGCTGTTTAATACTATAGTAAAATTTATAAATGCGGTTTAAATTACATAATGTCAAAGTAGCAAATTTTTACTGCACGCCACTGGAGGCAATAACGTTCAATGAGTGCTTCAATCTTTTCTCGAGCGCAAGAAATTCTACTTTATGCAACAGTATGAGAAAAAATACCCATTCTCAAGAGAAACCCCAAAAGAGTCCCTTTTTTTTAGTGATAAATGTATCACTTTTTTAAAATTCGTTAATTTCAGTTATAGCCACCTTTCGAAAAATGAAAAAATACTTTTTTAGGATAGTCCTAAGATCAAAAAGATACATAGAAAAATTTCCAGGATCATAAAGATAGAATCTGACATAGCCCCAAACTTGCTAAAAAAACCTGACCTTCTTTGCTCACCCTGTACACGTGGACAAATAAAAGAAATATACCGGTCAAACCCTGTACGTGTTCTCAAAGAAATGGTCAAAAATATCGAGATTTGAATGTGTGTAAAATGTTCCATGTTGCAAACCGAATGACCACCAGTTTATCTTGTCTTGTCAAATATGGGTTTTCTACATGCCACTATAGTAAGTTGTGTACATTTATGTAACCATATTTTTTAAATGTCGACTCGTCGGTCCATAATTTTTTCTCAAAAATTCGCGGATGTTCCCGGTGCCTCTGACACAACACTTGGAATATAATCTCGGGATTGTAGATATCTTGCTGACTGTACGTGGTACGGGTGTAGCTCGTACTTTCTCAAGATTCGGTAGGCTGTACTTCTGGGTACTCCCGTGCTTGCTTTTATTTGACGTACTGAAGTATTCGGGTGTTCTTCGACTGCTTGTAGTACGATGTTCTCGTAAGAAAAGGAAATTCTTACTTCACCTTTTAGTGATTTGAGAATCGTCCCTCTGAGAGTAAATGGTGCACATCCACAAAAACTCGGTGATCGGGATGACGAGAAGCATTTGGTACCTCTCACGATAAAGCTTAGCTGCAGCACTACCATTGCATCTATATTCCCATAAATGAGGTGCATGTTAGCGTATTCGTGTACGGTGTACCCAGGCATGTCGGCACTACTCATGAATTAAGTGACTGAAAAAAAAACTTTTTGTCGCTTGGTCAAGTCATGCATAACAAAGTCCAATTAACACCCTCTAAGCATTCCTTCCAACCTTCATATAGTCGATCGTTCTTCATTTATGTGCTGAAAATCAAATGCAATATTCAAGTCCTCCTTTTAAATAGTTCGTTAACCCTTAACAGGAAACGTGAATTTTTGGAACACAAAAGGAAACATGCCGTCTCTCAGACTGCGAACTTCAAGATGTTCAAAAAATTAGAGTAAGGCGAAAAGCAAGCAATAACTTCGCTGAAACTGATACTGGATGTTTATTTTATGTGTTTAATACGTAAAATGCTCATTTCAAAATGATACAAGAACATAAAAGAAACATTTTTATTAACTATGCTAAAACCATACAAAAATAACGCTGTTGTTGCAACATTCAGAAACTAAATTAAAACTATGGAAAAGTCTCAATATTTTTCTATTTTCTAGTTAAGTAATGAACAAGGAAAGTATATTATAGTCAATAAATACAAAAAGAACACAATCAAAATTCACTGCAAGTCTCAAACATTGCCTATATTTATGCAGCTAATACATTTGGGTTTGGAGCATTGAAGACATACAGGCTTCCTACATTGTACACACAAAAATTTGGTCATCCGATGGGTCGTTCGGTGACATAAAAAGCAGGCTTTCCTTTTTTCCAAAACCAAATTTTCAGCTTCTGTTGCTGGATGTTCACATTTGCCAAGGATGCGATTTATCGTAAGTCGCAAATCCCGAGGTAAACGGGGACTCTCTAGTCGCTTTTCCATATGCTCACGGACCAGGTTAGCGGCCAACATCTTAGCAAATACCGATTTTTCCTTCTGCAATTCATTTTTCTTATAGCACTGGTGTAAAATATACGAGTTCACTACCGATATATCCAATAGTCGGTAGAAAATAACCAGTGGCCACCTACGCGAACGGCGACTTGAGGTACTCTTCGAACATTTTTCATCAAGAGAATCAACTCCACCTTTATTAGCATTATAATAGGCTATTATTTCCGGTTTCTGTGTTTCCGGATCACAATATTTTCTGTGGTGCATAGAAGATATGAGTATTGTGGCTTTATTTTTTTTGCTTACATGAGACACAATAGTGGAATCTTCTCGAAATCCGTACATTGTTGATCCGACTTCTCTTGATTTGTTGGGTAAAAATGCCGGAGGAATTTCTCTTTTATTTTTCTTCATTGTACCCACATAGGTCAGGTTGTTCTTCAATAGGACATCCATTAATTCTATTGACGTAAACCAGTTGTCCGCTGTAATGTTGCGATTAGTTCCAAACAGAGGCTTCGCGAGACGTAGAACTGATTGTGTGGGTTTGGAATACCGCTTGTGTTCCTCAGGAAGTTCGAAACTATCGGAATCTTTACCGCAGTATATATATGCGTTATAGAGGTAGCTATTCCTTGCATCCGTCAATGCCATAATTTTTATGCCATATTTGCAAGGTTTCGCAGGCATATACATTTTAAATCGACATCTTCCTCTGAAACTCACGAGCATTTCATCGACAGTGACAGACTGGCCAACTCCGTACACATCTTGACAGTTCTTTATAAAACTATTAAAAATGAAAGATATTGGTGCTACTGGATCTAGCTTCTTTCTTTCACTCCTGTCATCTGGGTTATCAAACCTTAAGGCTGACAGGAGAATACCAAATCGTTTTATGTTCATGACAGCTCTGAATATATCTCTTCCAGAGCCATCGGTGGCAAAAAGTGTTTCAATGTTCTCGTGGTTGCTGTTGAACACCGATGTATATACTAAGAGACCCAATAGTGCCTTTATTTCGACTAAATCAGTGTCGTTTAGGTTGCTGGTTTGATTTTTGTATCTCTTTCGCATTTCTTTGAGCTTGTGATTGGTCCACTTAACGATATGTACCAACATGTCGTCAGTGAACAAAAGCTGCCAAACCGTCAACGGAGCTGCTTCTTCTCCATATTCATGAGCTTTTCCTCTTAGAGTTGGTACTTTAATAACTATATTGTGCTTCCTTGTACGTGATGATGGTACAACTTCCGAAATATTCCACCTATGACGATTTTTTCCATAGAAATAATTCTGAGCTGGTAAATCCTCTTCATTTCCTTCGGCTCCGTCTTCTGATAACTCACTATCACTTGTATGATCTGATTCCATGTATTCGTCTTCTGAGGCACTGTCTATATCACTAAAGTCACTTCCTTCATCCTCAAACCATTTTAGAACGGTTTCTTCGAACTCCGGATCATCGTATCGTACACGTTTAGAAGGTCCCGCCATACTCGCAAACGCACCTATGCAACACAAATAGCAAACGGGAACGGAAACGTGCCGTCTGACAGACTGCAACAAACTAAAATTGGTCCATATTTTAAGGCACGTTTTGGCTAGACTCGTGTGAATGGGGGTGGGCGATGGTCACTAATAGCTTATGGATTAGATGGGTTTTTACGTCTGTTAGAGGTGCAATAAAAAAAGATACGCTCAGGTATAGAAACGCCGCAGTCTCACAGACGGCACCTTTCCGGTTAAGGGTGAAAAAACAACCTGGTGGGTTTTCGGTTAAGGACTCGAGACCATTAGAATCTTTAATCGGTTTCTACTACAATGTCGATCCTTTGTAGGAATAGGTTGCGAGGTCGAAATCGAAACCATAGAATCGAGTCACTAAAAAGAACGATTTGGCCCAGGTCTATTTAACTGAAGGATCACATAATATTTTAATATCGATATCAGGCCTAAAAATGTTATTGTTTTTAAGTTCGTGCTAGAATCGTAGTCGTTTAATGGTTATTTAGTTCATTTTATGTGTTCTACGAGGTCTGCAAATTAAGTGATGAGACTGGCAACGTAGCGTTCGATCTGGCAACACTGGAGGCGCTGGGCTTACAGGGGAGGCAGCGGTACATGTTATCCGCCTTCAGTACAAGCTTGAACTAACTCGAGTCATTTGGTTGTACGTGGCGATTGGGTTCTAAAAATGAGTGACATCAATTTCAAGCAACTGTGTGCTATGAGGTACAGTGCAACGAAAACTCTTGCTAAACAGCCCTACCGAGGTAGAGATTTGTCAAGATCTCAGGTTTTTTGGTGGTTTAAGGCATTTTCAAAAGGGAGAGAGAGAGTCGATTCAAGATAAACCAGCGGAGCGGAAGGCCTTCATCTTAAGAGCCGATGAAAATATCAACAGAATCCGGGATTTGGGAGGTTCAGATCATCGGTTGACAGTCGGAATGATCAAGGAAGAGTTAAATTTGACTCACACCACCGTTCGTCAGATCAAGAACAACTGGGTGTTGCATCACGATAATACTCCTTGTCACGCAGCAAGTTGAAACATCAACTCAAGGTGATTCATTTTGGGACACCCGAAAGCATTCAAATGACTGTAACCGACCAGCTGAAGGCTATTCCGGTATCGGAGTTCCAGGACTGCTATGTGGAGTGGAAGAACCGTCTCCAGCGCTGAAGCGCAGAAGAAAGTTATTTTGAGGGTGACAGTATAAAATTGTAATGATATTTGAATAAGAAAATTAAAAATAATCAGTCTCGTCACTTACTTTACAGACCTCGTATATAAAGCAAACGGAATGCCATATTTGGTTCCAACCATTTTTAGAGTCATTCTTATTTGCAGTTGTAAAGAAAAGAATTGAAGTGAAGTGTTTATGATTTCGGTTCTATTCCTATCCTTTACTTGATTTATTAGCTTTGTCAAAGTCAAACTATGATCATTCGTCACAGCCGCAAATAAGGGTAACGACCGGGGCAACATTTATTCTATAGCCGTGACTTCTATGGTTGTGTGAACCATGTACGCCTCGATTCTATTCCTATTCTTTTCCTTATTTATTAGCTTTGTCAAAGTCAAACTATGATAATTCGTCACAACTGTAAATAAAGGTCACGACCGTGGCAGAATTTATTCTGTTCTATAGTTGTGAGTGTTTTGAACCGTGTACGCCTAGATTCAAATCCGTTTATGTCGTTAATTAATATGCACGATTAATGACAAATCTTGTCCCACCAGTACATACAGTACAGTATAAAAAAAGGTAATGGGAACTAAAAGATCATCATCAGATCGGATTTTTTTAAATCCTATAATTTGAAAAGTACTCGACTTAGATTTTATTTGTTTGATAACTATTATGACTTACAAATAAACGCATTAACCAACAATCGGGGGTTAGTTTCAGACACGTATAGTCTGCTAAGTGCAGCTACAAGCTTGGAAGATGAACTTCGCCAAGACAGTGGTGTTTCTATTCTTCATCCATCGGAAAAAGAGAAAGCTGCTGAAGGTGGTGAAGACGATGATCTCCAAATCGCTTCAAGAGTGGTTACTGATCAATATGCGCGTATGTTTCAAATAAGATGTGCTGTTTCTATATTTACTTAAACCTAAGTATCTATGAAAATGAAACTTATTATAGTTACTGGAATAGACATGGGAACCCGCAGGAGTTTTTCTCTGGGGGATGCGATTAGATATCGGTAAAAGGAAACGATTTGTATATTATGATTATGTATCAGCTCCCAAACATTTTTGAAAAGTGGGGATAGCAAACTTTCTCAAGGAGAGAGCGAAATCTTAAGTATGGTACACAAGATATGCTAAGTATGCAAAGTAACAGGCATAAGACATATGGACTTTGACCTCCGGTCTCCGGTTAGTTGAGATGGTTAAGAAACGTTTTTATCTTCCATTTGTGTCATACGAGTGGCTTTTTTGGAAGGTTGAGCAAGCAGTCTTGTCAACAGAAATATCCGATTGTGTTAAAAAATTAATGTTTCTAATGGAATTTTCTAGTTAATTTACATTTTCATTTCAATATTGTTTTAATTCTTTCATGAGCCGCAATGGGTGATATTTTTTCATAAAAGTTAGCTAATTTTTATTTTTTTCAGTCTTTATCACTAACCTAACAGCATTCATCATCTTTGTCATAACTTCCAGGCAATCAGTTATACAACCTTCTGCTTACGATTGTGTTCCGTCTCCTTTTCCCTATCTCATTCTCGTTCGTGCACTAACAACTAGTTCGATTGGATCATCGGGATCTTGTATCTAATATCAGTCGTTCGTAGTGAACAGACGAACGAGTGTTTCAAGGTAGAATGAAGCAGTTCAATTATAAGGATCGTTCGATTCCGAACTATACACTACTAGTATTGCAGCTAGATAATGCAGTAAAAATATTGCCCGTTTACAGGCTCCGTTAGGTTGACGTTCATAGTTTTTGGTCTCAAGTTTGAAGTGAATAAAATAATGGTAAATTTAGTTGGATTGACAAATTATAAACCAGCCGTTGGTTCAGTGAAGTCAATGCTCTCGAACCTTGTTGTCTCGCTTCGAATTCAATGCGGTTCAATGTTACTATAATGGGTAAATACGCATTTTTATTACCTGTTTTAGTTAGACCGGCCGTAAACTTTGCTGCTAGAATGAGGATGAAGGAACAACTGAAACGTTTCATCATAGCACCAGTAGTTCGTGGTATCCTGGCAGAAGAACCCATAGAATATTTGACTGAAATCAGACAAGTTGCTATTCTTTTCATCAACAGCAAAGTGTCACCGTTGATTAGTAATGTTAAAGGCATCGATGTGGCAAATGAGGTGTATCTAGCTGTTTGCAAGTATGTTTTTAAGTAATTTAAGATCATTCGGCTATTTAGAAATCCGTGATTTGGACGAGCTGAGGAATTTGTGCTGTCAGACGTTCCCTAAGATATACTTTATGACACTGCTCAAGGGTTGCACTTACGAGGCCTGTAAAAACCAAAGTCGCTCACTTTCATATATTGCTTGTCATCATGACTGTTATGCTGAACATTAATTGAATTTCAAATAGTGGACCCCGGTTCCGAGGTTACGTCTAACGGACCTCCACTAAATATATTTTCTGGATCCCTTGAAATACTTTTTTTGAAAATACAGGCAGCAGCGGTGGCCGCAGTAGTAGACTCTTCGGTCTCCTGATCAGTCGCCGTGCTCTGTGCGGGTTCGAGTCCCGTCCCAGGAGAAATTTTTCTCTTGGCTATGGATGTTGTGATTGTCCGTAGGTGGTAGATGGTCTCTGACTGTCGAACGCGGAGGTACCACCCCACGGTACCCAATGGGTGCTTAGGCCTTAGGCCTTCGTGGTAGTTGGAATATATATAAAAAAAACCTCATTTCTTCAAGCTACCGATAGCCCAAAATTTAATAATAAGTAAGCAGCAAAAGCTTGATTATTGCAAAATTAAGTGTTCAATTTGTGCTTAATTAATGCCCAGAAGAAAAATTTTATGCTATCCTTTCAAAAAAAATAATTTTCTGTTAACTTTTTTGAAAGTTAGCAGTTAGAACACTATGCTGCATATGCATTAAATGTTAAATGATTAATAATGAAGGATCTAAAGTCAGATAATTAAGTGCTAGTCAATCGCTCTAAGTATAGCTAGAAAAAAAATTCTGCGTATGAGTAAAATTTTCTTATAAATTGAAATTAAACAATCTTAACATTAATAGACTTTTCCGTTCCTCATTAAGATTTCAATTGAAATCTAATTGAAGACATGTAAAGTTGTCATTTAACATTTTTTTACATTAAACTAACCTTAAACCAAAGTCCCTATAAAAAATGTTTAAAGTCAATTTTCTCCATACAATGATTTTGTTACATGACACCTTTATCCACTTGTTGCTTCAATTATTCATAGCATACTAGGAGCATTAAATTATAAATCAATCGATAATGCTGAATGTATAAATGTTTTTGCAAATTATATGTTCTGCTCAATTTTGTTCTATTTTTCGATTTTCCCGAAAACTGGATCGACTAAAATTAAGTGCTAATTTAATGTTAATGCTAATTAAATGATTCGCACGAAGTATTATTTTCATTCCTAGAAGCGATATCCCTTCATTCGTGAGTTTTCCGGTTTACGTACTAGGAAAGAGAATTTTACAATTAAGTTCTTGCTCATACCTACATTGAAGTGATTGTTTAGCACGGTGAAAAACCAGTACGGATGCGTGAACAAAATCAGCAACTTCGACAAAGACTTGATGCTATTGGTTATTTTTGGGCTAAGGGGCTTCAAACATGAACTTGAGAGTCAAATTGCCCTAAAATGTGCTATTGAAGCAACTTCGAAAATTAGAGCTATAGAACATATTCAAGAGGTTGCAGCCGGAGTTACAACAGGTAGCATTAGCAATAATTTGTTGTAATCTTCAAGGATTTTAGGTTTATATACCTTCTGGAACTTCATTGTGTTTTTTGGTTGATTCAGAATCACTCTAATTCTCAATTTAAGAAAACAAGACGTGACAAATTATTTTTTTATTCCGGAAATATTATCCAACGAGGGCAATTTCGAAATTATTTCCATTGGTCGGACAATATAACTGAAAACGAAAAAAATGATTGGCTAATATGTTAAAACGTTAAAGTCCACGTTTTCTGGAAGTATTTAAATATTAAGTGCGCTTTCAGATCGAACTTTTAATCCTAGAGCCATAAAGTTTTACATAGTCTCGTACGTCCAGACGTAGTCTTCAGTCAAAAATCTCAGCCCGACCTGAGACATGACCCGCGCCAAGCCAGGTCGTAATATTATATAGTATAGGTTTGAGCCAGAGCAAAATTGTCTTTATGTCTATGCATAGGTGACCATAACAACGATGTTGACCAATGGTGTCACCAAAAAAGTTACAATGGCGGACTTTATATTTCGCGACTTGACTTCAAAGTTTGTTTGTTTGTTGAAGATATATTTAACATTATTGTTACAATGTATATTTTGTATATTTTTAACATTTTTTTTTTAATTTTACATTCCTGTCTATTAAAATTACATCGCTATGCATTTTGGGTATTCATAGAGTGATTGTTGTATCTTAAACATTTTTAAATTCGAACACTGTTCAATCTCATTTAATTCATTAAATTCAAATACTCCCTATAGTGTCTCTCATAGTTGTTGTAATGCAGTTTTCTAAATGTAGTGGTAAATGATTTTTTAATTTGAATATGTAAATAAGAACAATAACATATGGAATTCAAGCACTGCAGTTCTTCTAACATATACTTAATATTAATGTTATTTGTTTTTATCTAAAATGATTCTCACGGGTTTTGTGGAATTTGTAAATTTTAATGTATGTTTTCATTAGCTCTAAACAAAATAGTATGAAAAATAGAAAGAAGTATGGTGTTATACACAATGTCTTTGTAATACGAGGTCTGTGAATTAAGCTAAACTTCAGCAGGCCTACAGAGATAGTGCCTTGTCGAAAGCCCAGTTTTTTTTGGTGGTTTAAGGCATTTTCAGAGAGTCGATTGAAGATGAACCATGAAGCAGAAGACCTTCATCTTTAAGAACCGATGAAAATATTGACAGGATCCGGGATCTTGTGCATTCTGATCGTCGGTTGACAGTCTGAATGATCGGGGAAGCGTTAAATTTGACTCACACCACCGTTCATCAGATCAACAACAACGATATTGCTCCTTGTCACACAGCAATGTCAATAAACAAGTTTTTGTTCAGTAAAAACATTCCTGTGGTTCCTCAGTGTCATTATTCGCCTGACTTGAGTCCCTGTGACTTTTTTCTCTTCTCGAACTTGGAAAATCACCTCAAGGGGACTCCTTTTGTATGGAAAAATAGCATACGCTGACACTCCACCTTTTCGTCACTATTCCTTTTAAGCCAATTATTTTGTAATCATGTGGCGAATAAAAGCCATCTATTATTATTATTAAATTTTCATAAAAAAATTAAAAGTGTCATCACTTAATTAACAGACCTCGTACGTACTGAGATTATGGGAGACTCTGCAGAAGTATTTTATGTTTTGTGAAACTTTTGAGATAATTGGCTCAAAGTCAATTACAGCCTTTTATATTACCACAAGTTTCTTACGATCTATAGGTGACATGTTATACCAGTGGTTCTGAAAGTGGAGACTTTTGTGGCCACTGGTGACCTACGGGGGGTGGTGAAGAGCCTAGATTGAATTGATTTGGGAAGGCGATGCAGTGGCGTGGCTAATTTGACATATACATTCCAGATATATTTAAATAGAAGTTATTTCGGGAGGCAACATAAAATAATTGATTAACTAAGTTGGTAGTAGACGAAATATGTTTGAGAACCACTGTGTTAAATGTGCCGCTCTATATGCGCTGGTCTATTGGGTAAATGGCAATATGTCCTACTTAGTCTCGCATTTTTGGTGTTCCTAAGGACATAATATGAAATATATAATTTAATGTCCAATTGGCTTTTAAAAAATATATTACAAGTGTTAATTGTATTTATCGTGATCTTAACATGCCAGACTTTTGGCAGACAACACTGACATTAGGGATTAGGCAAATAGGTTTTATATTTTGTATTCTTCGCCGATATTACCAGGAGTTTATCGATATTTACAGTAATTTACTATGTTTGAGGTAAATGCTATTGTGGAGCCTTTGGTCATACATTGAGAAGAGAATACACAGTCATAGGGTTGACTGTGAATAAAGGAGCTAGACTAATGGTAGCTTATGCCAATAAAGTAACTTGTGATAGGGAAACGTTTCTCCACAGCAAGCTGGAGTCTAGAAATTTTATTCTCCAGGAGTACAAACCACTGAAAGGCATAGTGAATCCTGGACCCATATACGAGTTCAGAGAAGTAGAAAAGTGACGCAAACATCAGAAAGATGTTGTAAGACAGAAATGATTATCTGATGTATTTCAGGACACATCAAGAAAATTTGACTTACATCCTGCCTCTCCTGGGAAGGGAACAAGAAATTGATCTGTTTAGCACACTTCTGAAAAGAGCTACCAAGTTATCAAAACATAAAACAAATAAACAATTCTACAATATGATAATATTTCAAGGAGCTTATAGACAAGGCAAATCAAGACTGTACGAAGAATTAACCTATTCCATTGATCAAAATACTCCATTGAGGAAGTTTACCCTGACTAGATTCGATTACGATGTGAGGACAAATACCCTATTCTAAAATGTTCAAAAATCTGAAGAGAATTCTTGCTTATTTTAAAGAACATCATTAAATGTGGAAACACCTCGTTCATAAAACATTTCAAAATATAGCATAGTCTTAAAAATGAATTTTAGATAGATACCACCATACAGTTCATGCATTAGGGTAAAGTTGGATAAGTTTTCCATTTAGCATATTTTGTAGGATATCTCGTTAATGGCTTCATAGAACTGAATGAAAATTCAGAGTACGGTGATTTAAAATGTTTTTATCAAAGAGCACAACTAAAAAGTTATGGAAATTTTTACAGTTAAGAATAACAAAAGGTTGCAAACGGTACAATCTATCAAACTGGTTCGTTAAATTGTGATACGCGGTTTGTAAATGGTATCTTATCTTGTTCAGCCAAATCACACTGAGCCTTTACAAACATGTTAGTATACTAAGTGACCTATAAATCCGAACACCCAGTTTAAATGGTTTTATTTTAATAAAATTTTGTATAAGTGCTTAATGAAGCATAATAAGTAAATGATAAAAATTTCAAAATGATTGCACGGCTTTAAAGCCCTTTGACCTTTAATAATGTGTGGCTGCACCCTGATGTGCTACGCATTCTCCAACGCGCCTAGGCATGCTTCTGATCAGGTGGTCAATGTCCTCCTGTGGTATCTCATTCCAGGCAACCACCAACTCCTCTCGAAGGGCTTCTAGAGTCTGAAGAGGACGTTGCAAATTGAGCAATCTCCTACCCATCATATCCTACACTTGCTCAATTGGGGATAAGTCGGGAGATCTTGGTGGCCATTGTAACAATGTGACATCATTATGTTGAAAGAAGTCTATTGTGACTCTTGCAACATGTGGTCGGGCATTATCTTGTTGGAAAGTTGGATCTGCCAGGGTGTCAAGATAGGGTAAAAGATGGGGTTCTAGAACTTCGTGGATATAACGCTGCGCGTTCATGTTACCTCTGATGAAGATTAAAGGTGACCTGGAACCATAAGCTATAGCACCCCAAACCATAACTCCAACAGTGTGATGAACATGTCTTTCAACAAAAAACTGTGGATTCCTCCTTTCACCACGTCGCCTTCTAACCCTGGCACGACCATCGTGCATGCCTAAACAAAATCGAGACTCGTCACTAAAGACAATACTGTTCCATTCCTGATCCCAGAGTGACCGTTGTCTGCACCACTCAAGGCGATTACGTCGGTGTTCTCGAGTTAAAGGGAGGACCCAGTGTGGCCGGTATGAAAACCAGCCAAAACTTCTCATTCGTCGGTAAACACTTCGAATGCCAATAGGTCTTCCGTGTTCTGCAAACCATTCATTTGCAATGGACCTGGTAGTGGAGAAACGGTCCCTTAAGGCCAATAATCTTAGCCGGCGATCTTCACGGTCTGTTGTTCTACGGCGGCGTCCAGTGCCCCTTGCTCTTTGCGAACGGCCTTCTCGAAGCCATGCCTGACAACACCTAACCACAGTGTCTACACTTCTTTGCACTCTAACTGCAATTGCCCGAAAAGAAAGTCCAGCTTCCCGAAGTCCCACTATACAGCCCCTATCAAACTCACTAAGTTGACGAAATCGTACAGGTCTCCGTACTCTAGGCATCGTAACCGATCGTAAAGGATGTCAAGAACCAAAATCCGCCAACGTTGATTCTTTACTGCGGCTGAAATATTCATTTTTAGAGCGTTAGTGAATTAAAAAAAAGCAGTATAAAAACCGGAATGTCCAACTGATCAGGCTGAAAATTTGTTCACTTGTTATTTACAGTAAGATAAATACATTCACCAACTTTTATTAAAATAAAACCATTTAAACTGGGTGTTCGGATTTATATGTCACTTAGTATATCTATTTCTTGTAGGTCCCATACAGAACCGTGCGGTATATATTCCGACCTTTTCTGGGGACTGAAGCAACCAGTGTAAGAGATAGAGAGAAAAAGATTCTGAGACTGCTGAGCGATAAGGAGCTCGAAGATCAACTTTGTTTTTTAAATTTTGTTTTCGATGTCAAATTCAACATTAGCAAGATATATAAGGACATGGATTTGGCTACTAAATACGAAACCTTGAAAAATTTATTCAAAATTTTATGTATGGCTGTAAGTATAAACATCAGAATTATTAGAATAGCATAACTATACGTGCACTATATTTGGACAGTATCTAAAAGCGAGCGTCACCGAGAAAATTAGCGACATGCAATATGGTTTGCTATATCAGTTATCAAATGGGGACTAAGGACTTGCTTACATTACACATTTATGCTACTTGTAGAAGCTCATTTTGTTGCTTTTGATAGGAGAGCATTTTTTATTATTGCACAATGTTCCAGAATATGTGTGATCACCATAAAACAATTTCGTTTTGTAATGTAATTTGGAAACACTACATATACAGGACTGAGAGATAGACCAACCTAAAACCTATTTGTAATTTGGTCAATCTGAATTATCTAGTTTACGAGACGCTAATGTTTAACAAAGGTCGTGCATTCACCATTTATGACAATATGCTTGAAGGACGTCCACCATTTTCAACAGTGGCCTAGCCGCAACGTAAGCATCAGCAAAGAACCTAAATAAACTATACGCCTGAAAAGCACTGAGATAGGTCAGCATTGGGAACCCCAATCGTCGGCAATGCAGTATCCAGTGGTTAGAGCTATGCTGGAGGACCTAAGAGACTCGATCTACAGTGGCATTGCTCTGTCGTCAAGGTTGGATTGAGGGATCTGCTTAGGAGAGGGGAGCAGTGGTGGTCACAGCATGAATGCTTGGGAAGCACTTATAATCCAGTCAAAATAAGACTTAGGTTTGCAACCCACACAGCTGAAAATTTATGTACACTTTGAATACACCATTATGTATCAAAACTCCTCGTCTATCCTTAGAACGAAACCTTTTTTTTATTTAGGTTGAAATGCTAAAAAATATCTGGATTTGCCAAATTCCTCTACAAGGGAAGGAGATACCACACAAATTGTAGAGAATACAATTATATATATAAAAGTTGTTAAACTTTTATTTATTGAGTCACCGTTTATGATATTTGGTGATCTGTGGACTCTGAGGTACTCTTCTGCCCTTATGCGGCATATATTATGTGTGTACGCCATCAACTGTTCCATATGAACATATATGTGGAAACATTAATGTAAGCTACTTATGCTGAAATACACAGCACTTATACAGGGTGTGTCAGAAAAAGGTGTCAGTGACTATCCTAAAAATACATTGCATTAGCAACCAGAGGTTTGTATACAAGACCATTGAACGCGAAATGCTTGAAAACTCAAAACAGAAGATTAAAGAGTTAATCCGTACCATTCCAACACATTTGATCTGTTTAAGGGCGCTCACACTGAATGAAAGGGAAGTCATATTCTCTGAAAAAATGCTTACCCTCTTGAAAAATGCTTCAGGCCTTCATCATTTATTGCAATTAATATGTGTATATCAAAAGTCCAATTGAGATTTCAATGGTCTACAATATTGGTGTAAGCTATTTTGTGGTTACTAACTTGTACAGTTCCAGGGAAATATAAAAAAATGCTAATTTTGACATATAAGGTCCAATACAAAATTTCGCGCTCCAATGATAGATGGAAACTTTTGATATATTAATTGTAATATCAAAGGCATAAAACAATTTTCAAGTGGGTATGACCTTTTTCCGAAAATTTTCCTTTTGTTCATTTTGAGTATCCTAAGCAGACCGGCACGGGTATCACGTATCTTGAAAAGTGATATTATGCCAATTTTTTTGACATTATGTAGGTTTTTCTGCAAGATATTAACTTGGCACTTAGTTGTACGTGTTGCCTAAACGTCATGAGGCTTGTTATCAGTCTTTGGCTCTGATGTGATGATAGAAATTAGTTGCGCATCCCCTTTTTCTTATCCATTCTGGAAATTACATATACAAATACTACATGCTAACAGTAATTACACACAACGTGGGCGCGGTGATAATTTCCCGTAATTCTCCTCAGTTTTTCGTGATTTATAACTTTGAACATAACACAACATCAAAATAATCCGTCGGGCACAGCCAATAGATATACTTCATTGCCATCATATTCAGTAATGATTTTCTCACACAGCAAATATCCCTGATTTTATACACATACAGACCAATACACTCAATCATCCAGATGCGATCTTGCTATTCAACCAACTTTCTTCTCAGAGATAAAAACCACAGACAAGGACCATTTGGCCTCGCAAAACATATGCAACCAATAATGCATGTAGTTTAGTTGAGTGATTCCTAGTGAGCAAACGAGGAATGACTGCGCCCTAAGAACTACCTAGTTTGCAAGATGACATCTTATAGGTTTTTTTTGACGTTTTATAGGTTTTTTACATGATACCCATGCGGGATGTGGTCAATTTTTTATTGAATTTACAAGCATTTTTCTTTCAATTGTGTTGTATTCAAACCTTCGGTTGCTTCTGGAATGCTTTTTTAGAAAAACTACTGACACTTTTTTGACACACATCTTAGTACAAGTAGCATACATCCATGCTTCCACATATGCCGCAGAAGAGCAGAAGAGTACCTGAGAGTCCACAGATCACTAGATCTCATAAACGGTCACTTAAGAAATAAAAGTATTTTTATGGAGAATTGTAACCTCTTAAATTTTTGTATAAGGTATTTTTGTGGCATCTCCTTCCCTTTTAGAGGAATATGGCGAAACCCGATATTTTTGACATTTCATCACAAATAAAATAAGATTCCGCTCGAAGAATATATGAGGAGTTTTGATATATTATTCATAATGGCGTATTCAAGGTATGCACCAAATTTCAGCTTTGTGGGAATTTTCGCAAACCTACAATTTTATGTCCCTTAATAAAGCATCACCGCTTCTGAGAGAACATTCCATTATGACAACTGAGGAGCCTGGGTGGGATGCGTCTAGAGAGGAGCACAACTCAGCATTCAGATCTAAGGGGGCGCCCCACTCGCCCCTCTTTAAATCCTCTCTTATCTACCGTAGTGATGATACCTGTGAGAATCTTGAAGATGAAACCCTCGCTAAAGCAAAATGATTTTGTTTTCGCCTGCGCTAAACTGCTACGGAGCCGTTTGTCTAGATAATAAAGACTCCTAATCATGAAGACCCTGGGATCCTGTGGATGTCCTTTAACGAGTTGTGTGGACAAAACGATAGCCAAAGCAAAACATCTCCTGGCCTCCGACCATCCTATAAGTCTACAAATCATCGCCTTCGAACACTCCATATCCAAATTTACTTATCAAGAAGTTATTACGGAAGATTTAGGCATGAGGAAAGTACGGAATTGTTTTTCCGAGTTGTCAATTCTCACCGACCACCAACCGAACTGCCAAAACTGATATTTAGGCTTCTCCTCCCATCTCTTTAGCTTTTCTATACATAGCCGCAACGCCTTCCTTTTGTTACCTACAAGGGATGTCTTTTAAGTTTTGCATATGGAAATAAAACAACACGGTAGGTAGTTTTAAATGACTTTAGTATTTTTTGAAGTATTCTCCACAAAGATTAATACACATCTGCATGCGCTCGAACCAATTTTCGAAGCACTTATTCCACTCGTTTGCTGGCAGATCGAAAACGGCAATTTTGAATGCGTCAGCTGCTTCTTTTGGTGACTGGAACCTTTGACCACGCAGTCTGTTTTTAATTTTTGGGAAGTAAAGAAATCGTCAGGACTTAGATCGGGACTATATGGAGGATGGTCCAATAATTCCAAGTTTTCTTCCGTTAAATACTGCCTTGGTTTTTGGGCTGTGTGCGAGCTTGCATTGTCTTGGTGGAGGATGATTCTTCTTTCGCGGTTGATTTTTCGAAGCTCGGGGATGACTTTTGGCAAACAAATGGTGGTATACCAATCCGCAGTTATAGTTCTTTGCTCATTAAGAGGAATTGTTGCAATATGACCCGCTTTTGACACAAATGTCGCGACCATCTTTTTCGAAACACTTCGAGAACAGATGACTTTTGTTGGCTTTTCTTCACCTTCGAACACCCAAACAGCCGACTGTCGTTTATTTTCTGGTTCATAACAGTAAATCCACGATTCATCACCACTAACAATGCTGTACACATTTTTTGAGTTTCCGGAATTGAAACGGTCAAGCGTTTTTTGACACCAATTAACCCTGGCTGCTTTCTGCTCTTCAGTCAACAGGTGGAGTATCCAACGAGAAACTAATTTTCTTACTCCTAATTCTTCATGTAAAATTTTTTGAATTGAGGTTTTTGAGATCTTCAAGGACGCCTCAATTTCGCGATATGTCACATGTCTATCTTCAATGATGAGTTTGCGCACAGCATCGACGTTTTCCTGGGTAACTCCGTTTTTGATGCACCCACCCTGGGATCGTCGCTAAGACTCACCCGTCCACGTTTGAATTCTCCATTCCAACGGGAAATTGTCGACTGATGTGGCGCTTCGTTGCCGAAAACAGACAGTAACTCAGCAAGGCATTCTTGTTGCGATAATTGTCTCTGAAAGATGTAATAAATTATGGCGCGAAAAGGTTCTCGGTTGAGTTCCATTTTTCGAATGACTTGGTGACACTTAAAAATTCACTGTAGTGAGAACGCTGCACGTATTGTTGTGAAACTTTGAATTTAAGTTTACTAAAGAGTGAGGTTAAGATTCAGTACTGACGTTCGATCCGCGCGGTCTACTATGGGTCTGTATGCAAAACTTAAAAGACATCCCTCGTACAATCGATATTATCTGCATAGGCAAACACTTTGTTTAACGTATTCAGCGGTACCCTTGTCCCATGGCTTAACCGCCCATAGTTATATCAAAGGGGCCAGTTTCATTTCCCCATTATAGCCCAAAAACTCTCATAGGTCAGCTTGGGGATCATTACTAAAGGTCTCAGACTGAGTGCACAGTGTATAATTTTCTTAGCAGCCGGGGTCTCATTTCCTTATGTATTGGCACAAATAAAGCTTCCTGTCATTCGTTAGTCTTTTTTTACATCAAATTAGAAGTCACAGCTTATACATTTGTTTCCATAGCTGTTTTGCACAGCCAAAGGGTCACGAGTTGGCAAACAACCTTTACGGGGAGACCTTCAGTGCTAAAGTGGGTTGATTCTACTATCAGCTAAGATGGTCCCACACCATGTATATGTAAATTGATATGATTTTGTTTTTGGGCCCCACAAGATGGTAGCATCATAAATGTAGCAACGACGCGGAACGACAGCATTTTTTCAAGTTTGATGATCATTAAGTTCTGTTATAGATTTGACTTGAAATTCCAATAGTAACATAATTTAACGTCAAGCTGTTGACTAAAAAAATAATGGTTGAATCTAAAATGCAAATATCTTTTTGCAGTGTTTCCATACATTCTACATTATAGCCATAGATGATGCTGAAAATATAGATGACGAATCCTGGATGTTACTAAAACTTCTGTTGGACTTAAATCTGGTATTTGTGGTAGCCACAATGGGTACCGCCAAGGAACTGAGTACGTTAGCAATGAAGGTGCTAAGATCTACGAAAATTAAAACAGTAGAGCTGAAAGGAATTGACAAGTGGTACCATGTTGGCTTGGCATGTCAGATGTTGAGCGTAGATGGAATACCTGCAGAATTGGAAAAGTTAGTCTAATATTAACAACTTATTTCTTTTTGGAGCGATACAATTATTAACGATTGATAAACCATGAATTTTCCAGTTCGTGGCTTATCGACACAAGCCATTTTAAACAGGACATTGTGGTTACTCTCTGGAACCTTTCAAAAGTTCAGATTAAAACATAAAAACTTTGGATAATGCAAAATATTTTTGAAATATACTCTCGAAAATTTGATATGTAACTTCTGCTATTTTCTTTGTTATTCAATTGCTTATTTTTTTATATAACATTAGTAGTCTTTTTTCTTCCTATGTTCGATTGGATTTAAGCATTTAGTGTTATTGAGTAGGTACGTGCCTGCTGAAAAATAAATGTCTATCTATATATCTATCAAGCGCTCATTTAGGTAGCGAAGTTTTGTCACTATTAACGTATCCTAAGAAATGCATTTGCTGACATTTTCGCTATGAAGAACGTATAAACGTGGTAAGCGATCCAATACAGTAGCGCTAGATTCTAAAAGATTTAATTGTTGTTACAGAACTATCCAAATGAAAAGCAATGGGAATCCAGGATGGGTGGAGAGCTTTCTCGTAAGTTTGATGCAATCTGGTGGTTTGTATGTGCACGAGATGAGTAGAGAAGCGGCTTACGATGCTGGAATTGTTATGGCACCTCTATACATGGTTATGAGGTAATGCTCCAATATGATGTTGAGGGGGATTTGATTTATTTTCTACCATTTCTGATGAAGGTTATCAAGAGAGGAGATTGCGCTATGGGTAGAAATTATGGAAGAACGCAAGCTAGAAGTGAAAGAAGATTTGCAGACTACTCGGTGGAAGATGTTCATAGACAGTTGTAGGGTAAGCTAGTCATAAAAGTATTTGCATTTTTCATTGATTTTTCGGATGTTTTTTGGTTTAAATTACCCCATTCCTTATAGATTCCATATTATAGGATGGAATATCATGATACATTGCACTGTTTATTTGGTTCGCCTTCTTTTACTTCGCACATACAAGTAAAATGAGTAGTAGTGTCTATTTTCAACTTTACATAGAAATCTGTCTAATGGGGCCCATGTCTCATCGAAACATTGATCGTTTGCAGGAGAGCTATCCTGACTTGAGCGTGGCAAAGACCTTTAGGCAAATACTGAACAAGACCGATGTTGTGAATATTTGTACTGTAGATGAAAAGTTTAACCTAGAAGATGTTGACCCCGAACTAATTATAGATGTGATTATTCTAAAAACATTTGATTCCCTGACGTCATATGAGCAGCTATTATTGAAGTGTAGTGCCATTTTAGGAGATATTTTCCCAAGAGACATGTTATTATACATTATGTCATCCTCTGCGATCAGACTCACAGCTCTAGGTAGGTGACGCTTTTAAATCATGAATCAAGTATGGCACAAGGTGGGTCAAAAGTAACGTCATAATGTAAGCTGGCTGCCATCCCTTTAGAACTGATAAAAATCGGTTCTGTTTCGTTAACTGTCTATTTAAATTGATGATATAAAAATGAAAAATAATATCAAAATACCTCTTGAGTTGACGCACATTTGTGCTAGTTGAGTTTTAGATTTTTGGTGCATCTCAGCACATCAGATGACATCATATTTCTTCCTTTGAGGTTACGCCAACAAAATCAAAGTTTGCAAGTCTTAAAAGCCAATATGCTGACAGTTTTAATAGATAGTTAGCTGTATGATTTTAATTCTAGCGGTACAAAAGCTTTTCGAAATACATGTTCTAAGTTGTGCAAGAGGCAATTTCATAGAGGGAGGATTAACTTTTAAAGAAAGATTAATAAACCCCAATGAAGATATGTCGGTGAAATGTGAATGCAAGGGTTTAGTTGTTGACGGTGAGTATTCCATCCGTTCTGATCGATTTCCTTGTCAAGTACCGAATAACACTTTTACAAATAACTTGAGAATTAGCAATATCTGTAATATTTTCTACCATAGGTATCATAAAACGACGTTTGAAATTAGTACACCATTGGTTTTACAAATAAACAAGTCTGATAAATGTACCGCCTTGTTGGATGAAATTATACATCCACGGATCGACAGCAGTTCGAAATATATTCCTAAATAGAGTCGTAAATATATGTACTCCAGAAAATTTTGAAGTCAAAATAATGGAATGGCCGTTTCCATTTTTACTTCCCACTGGCGAGGAAGAATTGCGAAAAATCATCTACATCACGAAAAATCATGTCACATGCCCATCGGTCTGTCTTTCTGTGTGGGTCTGTCTGTTGGTTTATTTTGCCAGTCTCTGTCTGTCGGTCTGTACCTCTGTCCGCTATTGCTTGGTCCATCTATAACTGGGAAAGTACTGCTCGGATTTTGATGAAATTTTCACACATGGTTACTCCAATGCCAAGCGACAAACTATTTGTAAATAGACCCAGTGGCAACGGAGCTGCCATCATAAAACAATAGCAATAAAAATCACTCATACATTCAAACATTTGTAAGGGATTAAAATTTGGGGATTGGGATTTATGTGGGATGGGGAGGGCATATCTCAATGTTTTGACGTTAGTATATAGTTATAGATTTCCCCCTACATTTGGATTTAAAGAGAGAAATACTTCCAACTCGCGGCTCTGCTCTCTGGGTTCACCGGTGTTATATGAGTGACGCGCCGTGACTGCCGTGCTACCAAGTCTACGAGTGGATGCTTTGAGGGATGAGATATTGGCGGGATGCTGCCAGATGGACAGTACTATCGACAGGGCAGGGAAATGTGTATGGACTAATCTTATGAGCCTGTTTGACTGACTTGATCAGTTTAACTTCTCTGTTAGACATGTTCCTTAACTTTTTTCTCCGAGAGCCTAACTTGTTCTGATCATAATCTTTTATAAACCGCTGACGGCGTTTTTTATATCAAACCAGTCAAAGAGTCTTAGTATTCGGTAGCAAATATCGCATATCTTGCAAATTTTAGCCTACGTCTTTAACATGCTTTTTTGCTAGAACTCCATGCTTCTCTGGCCAAATAAAACCGTATATATTGTAGTAACTCCTTACTGACGTCTCGGATGCTATGGTGGCCTTCAAGTACACATAAATGACAATGGCAATATATTTTATTTATCCGTCTCACAGATGACGGTTCCTTTGTTTCTTTCCGCTACTCTATAGCTTTATGCGATTTAACGTAGAGGCAGTTAGCCCTTTTACTTGACAGTTATTAAGACCACTAATATAGTTGGTCAGACATTTGAAAATTGATATTGACTGATATTTGATCATCCCCAGATTCATGTATGGACCTTCCAAAATACGCCTCTTGTGGCTATCTACGATTTCGATCATCCGAATTTCGAATAACAACTTACAATCTGCTGACTGACAATCAGAAAAGAGAGTTTCATGGACGAGCTATCAGGTATTTGGAAAAAGAGACCAGGAGATGTAGAGCATGTGGAAACGGGTATTTCACGAGGCAGATGGGAGGAGGCCGACTTGACAATGTAGGTGCTAGATCAACGAAATCTCTTGAATAATAATAATAATTTGTTCCAATCTACCAAATACATGGGACAGGAAACGTCGATTCACGGTCGAGAATAGTATACTTTTTCTGAAGTCACTTGAAACACTGTGAAATACCGGGTGCGTTTTATATATCTATATTTAACACGCTCTGTTGCTGCAAAAATCGCCAAATTTCGCAGCAAATATCCCCCGTATAAGATCAAAGGCAGTTTCACCGGTCCACGTGGAGTAAAGCACGCCTATGCGTGGACATAGCCAATGAGAAAGCGTGTATTTCAGAGCTCCGAACAAGTGCAGGTGGCTACTGAAAATTGAAACAGTTTAGCCAGTGCCGTGTAGCGGTGAATAAACGTGTTTTCTTTAGTCTGTCCGTGTTTTTTCATAGATTTTATTAGTTTGTGTGTTTTTGACTTTTGAATACTCAGTTTACTTGTTGATTTAATTGTTGTGTTGATTGTTCTTGTGTGTCCTAAATATGGCTCTTTGGAGACCTTGGGAAAATGCTCCAAGCCACGAGGAGATGGTTGATGAACCTGTGCAGGCAGAATTCTTTCATAAAGATTTAGAGGAACAGACCCAAAGAGTAATCCTAAATATGTATGATTGTCTGAAAAACGAAAATCCAGATTCCTCGCAAAATCAAATTTTAAACAGAATTTGTATCCTGACAAAAATCAGTCGGTCTACCATTTATCGGGTTATAAAAAGGGGAGATGTAGTCAACCATTCCTTCCACAGAAAGCGCATAGGGCAAAAATTAAAAAGAATAGACGTGGTTTTTCAGTAAGATATTCGTCGTATAATATACGGATTTTATAAAGAAAATTTGGTACCCACGTTGGAAATGATACGGGATAAATTAAAAGATTATCCTGAAGATTTTTATAATTACAAATGCTTAGACTCACTGCACTGTATTGTAAAACTGTGTGGTTTTCAATACAAATAATTAGATAAAAGAATGGTGATTATGGGTCGTCTCGAATCGTTGAATTGCGCCAAGAATTGCACAAAGTTAAAATCTATAGAGAGCAGAAAAGAAATCTGATTTACCTGGATGAAACGTGGTATGATACCCATGATGTTGTGCAGTACGGCTGGGTTGACGACAGCAACAAGTGCATTTTAAATGCACCATGCAACCGTGGAAAACGAATCATTATTCTCCATGCTGGCAGTGAAAATGGATTTATACCTAATGCCTTGCTGTTATCTGCCAAAAATATCAAAGAATCATGTGCCGACTATCATGAGGACATGACCTCCGACTTATTTGAAAAGTGGATAGAGCAGCAGTTAATACCAAACATTTCCCCAAATTCAGTGATTATTATGGACAATGCGCCATACCATTCCCGACAGAAAATCAAAATTCCGAATACAGGCACAAAAAAACAAAAGACATTATTGATTTTATGAAGGATAAGGGAATGGAAATACCACAAAAATCAACCAAAGCCATATTATTGGATCTTATTAAAAGACAAAAATTTGAAAAAGAGTATGTTGTTGACAATCTGCTTCAGCAAAATGGCCATGAAGTATTACGTCTACCTCGTTATTACTGCATTTTTAACCCGATTGAGTTGGTCTGGGCTGCTTTAAAAAAAAAGTAAGAAAACATAATCAGACCCCTCAATTAAGTGAGTCGCTATTGGCCAGAATAAGAGATGCAGTATCTCATATTGCTGCCACAGACCTATGGAAGCAGTGTTCTAGGCATATTATTGGAAACGAAAATGAATATTGTGTTTTGCCTCCTGTAAATTCCGTTGTAATTCCTCTACAAGATGACTCTAGCGACAGCTCCGAAGGCGAGGATGATATATAAATACCTATAATGTAAGTCTTCATATACCTTTTTATATACCTACCTGCTATGTAAATATTTGCCTATGTCAAACGTTGGAATTCTGTAATTTTTCCATTTCTTAACTTTCAGTCAACATAAATTAAACTCCCAATATAAGTATTTTTTATCCCAAATCAAAAAAATAAGAAGATAGTAAAATCCATTTATTGTGATATAAAAACATTATTATTATCGTTCTAAATAAATGCCGCACGCCTATGATACGTCATGAAATTACAAAGGACGCGCCGACCAAAGGTTTTTATGCTATTTCAAGTGACTTCAGATACACCATACACATATAATTTTACAGAAAAGTAATGAAGCGTATGTTGACTACAAGCCACCTCAAAGCAGAAAACATTGCAATAGAGGCCTAACAGCACAGCTTTTAGATTCCAGATATTCCGACACACTGTAGAAAGGCTTATTCAGGAAGTAGGTAGTTAGCGTCTTTTTGAGGACTCGCAGAACATTGATATCTTTAATATCATTTTCTCAATAAACTGAGCAGTTTTTAATCGAGATAGTTGGAACTCCAAAAGTGGACGAATTATGTACGGGGATGACTATGACAGTATTATTAGATGTGTTATAGGTATCAAAAACTTGAATTGATTGAAAAGTTTCCTAAATTTAATTTTACGTTCATTAATAGTTCAATCATCATAGTATTCGGAACTGTCATTTTAGTCCAGTTAAACGCGCGCGTTGTACAAATAGCTTCCCAAGAAGTATAATATAATAGTCCAGTTAAATAGCCGAAACTGAGACAAAAGTGATAACATAGCCACATAGTTATGTTCGCTGGCGTAATGGTGTAATAAAGGCTTGCGAATATTGTCGTAACAGTTTAGTTTTCTGGAAACCAGCCGTTTTTTGTAAAACAGCGAAAGATCCAAAAAACCTCTTTTTCGCTGAAACGGCTGAGGTTATCTGGGATTTTTTTACACGTAACTTTTCCTAATTTTTGGGTCATCAAAATAGGTCTCTGCAATTTTTTTGCTAAATTGCTTAGTTTTCGCGCTACAGCTTGCTGATTGCTTGAGGCGAGGGGCTTACGGGTTGCGGAGTCAAGGACGTACATATCACCAGCCGCCGCACCGTTGACGCGGACGACCCTTTTTTAATATTCGAACGTCCTCAGTGTCTCACTCTCAGTGATAGGCCAGTCGATTTCGAATAATAAGCTCGTTTGTAGTTGTGGTGGTCACCGACGTATGCATATTAATGAATTTTTGGAATTTATGCGTTTAAGTAGAGTACAAGATGCAGTAATTTCTCTTCAGTCGCATACCGATTGACTGGATAAGTGACAAAAAAACTAGAGCTGCAAAAACGGTGTGAACGTATATAAATGAGTGGCAAGAATTAATTTCATTGTTGGGGAAGATAACCGACTGCCTAGCTTAGGTGTGGGAACATGCGGACATTTATAAGACCCTCTTTGAAAAGCTAGCGAATGGTACCGCCTCGATCGACAGGTCCTTGTCTACCACCTTTTTGCGTGTTAATGATGTTAAATAGACCCAAAGTGAACCATTGGCGGACTAGTACCGCCACCCTGCAATCGTTACTGAGCTGTTCTTTAACGCGTGTACAATCACTGGAACCGGAAGAAGTTGTATACTGGATACAACAACTTCCGGAACAAGCATTTGCCACGGCACCGCTCACTAGGGGATAATCTGATACTAATCAAACTCAAATGAGGAAAAGTTTCATATCACCAAAATTAGTGGCAGCATCAAATAGGTGTCAGTTAAGAATGAGAAATGCTGTTTTCATTATTGAAGCAACCATTGAGGCACTTGGACGTAATACTGACGAGCTGCCTATAAGCAAGTCCTCCATTCAAAAAATTCGTACCGTAAAGCAAAAAGGAGCGCGCAGAAGCTGTAATGCTTGATTTCCAAAGCGAAGAACCGTATACTGTAACCGTCCACTGGGATGGAAAATTGTCGCCACCTTTAAATGCACGCAAGTCTAAGTGAGAACGTCTACCGATTACTATAACGTATGAAAATAAAAAGCAACTCATCGCTGTGCCCAAATTGGATAACTCTTCAGGGAACGAATAGGCTCAGGAAATTTGGGATGATATTATTGAATGGAATCTTGAAGATAAAGTTCAGATTCTCTGTTGTGATACTACTGCATTAACGGTGCCTGCATGCTTCTCGATACAGAAACTTAATAAAGAACTGCTTGTTTTTGTTTGACTCAATCACGTTTAAGAATTAAGGCGTGTTTGAATCAAAGATCGACCAAGTCCTGACATTCCATTATTTAAAAAGTTTCGCCAGAGCTGAAAAAGTGTGGATCCCGAGAAAATACAGATTTATACTAGAACCTTCAATAATATTCCTTGGCGGAGATACAGAGAAAAATTAAAAATTCGACCGCCAGTGGCCATGCATCAAGCGGCCAGAGCAATCAATTCATTAAAAATAATAAGAATAAGTTGCAAACATTGAGAGCAGTTAACAATACGGCAGAAAGAGCAGTCAAGTTAACGCAAGACTGATGAAGAACAAACACGATTTTTATTACGTTGCGTACAAGATCACAGGCAGGTATATCCTGACAGTAAAAAGAAAATTTGGAAAAGAAAATTTAATAAATAATGTTCTTTTAATGATAAATACCTAAGAAATATAAAGTACAAATAAAGCAGTGTTTTATTTGTCGAATAAGAATTAGGTTTTGGAATCCATACATGGTTTCCCTATTAACTTTCAAATTCGAAGTTTGACCGAAAGTTATCGTTCTCCGATAGCAATATAATTTATTTTTTGATGATATGCGTATCTCAATTTAAACAAAAATTTGTTTGTCCTCATAGGCTGTAGCACTCCTATATTCATGATCCACTATACTATTACTAAACGACATATTGATTATTTGAAAGACTTTGAGGTACTATGCAAGAAGTGGGCGGAAGATGGACAGAAAGAAGTCATCGTTGTTTACTGATAACTCAAGCACCGAATATGGGTCTAAATTGATGCAAAGGGTCTCTTTTTTGAGTTACGAAAGCCAGGCGTCATCAGCGACCAGATCAACAAGAGATTTTAGAGGTCCACGTGACACCATGTCAATGACATCATCCGTCTCTAGCGGTGAACAGTTTCTTACTTTAGGAGAGAGCTGTGAGTAAAAGATCAGGGTCTATAAGTAGTTTATCGTATCTATGAAATTTTGGCAGTCAATATATCAGATGTGTTTTAAATGTGAAATCCTCTTACTTTTTATTTTAGTACTTGATTGTCTGTGAAGGTGAAGTTCGCATGTTTGGCAGCTTTCGCCGAGTGTCAATCATTTTCGAATAGTTAACTTACTATTTTATTGTAGGGCAATATTTCTACTTCAAAACATAAAACTCACTGAGACACAAAGCATACCAGGTGTACCGGACTGAAATGGATATAGTGAAATAGTAGGTAGTATGAAGAGAGATCTTTTGATATCTGAAAATAAAAGAGTCCTTAATTCAGTTTTTACGAATATACGGATATCCAAACTCGTCAAATCTTTAATACTCGTATCACGTTTCCGAGGCATTATTGCACCAATTTTCCAGAAATTTTGCACGATAACAAAGTTACCTAGAAATAGCGTAAAACTAGACAGACCGTTGAAAGACCGTGTGTGGGGTATTAGTCAAGTTGACAGAAAGGTGTATAATAAGATAGAAACAGATCCTGGGGGTCGGCAGGATGCAACTTCTAGCTGCCCCAATATTGGCGAGATTCAAAGTGCCCACCACAACGAGATAGTCTACCCGACAAGGATGTCTTCATCAGCCTCCTGTTAAAGAACAATAAAAAGCAGCAGAAAACGATAGCAGCGCAGATGAAGCTTATTGAAAATATGTCACTGCAAATAGATGAGTTGCTGAGGCAAATTAAAAAATGGCTGAAGAAGACTGAATCCTAAAGAAACGTCAATATGACAGCGACAAGGACAGTTCCACAGTTTACGAAATAGACACAGGAAACATGCATTGCTCCAAAGTATCGAAAAAACTTAGATCCAAGAAGAGCTCTAGCGATTTTGTACCACTGCCAAGTTAAGCCCAGCCATCTTCTTACTTCAGCTTCATCTCCTTTACCTCAAGCACATTTTTTTACCACTCACCTCGGCTACTGCCTCTAGTCAAAATACAAATTCAAAACCAATCTTTCCAGGGTCGAGCACTACACCTTCGAGACTAAATCCATCAAAGCGGGTCACGTCGATACTACTGCGTGAATCAGAAAGGTGGAAGTTTCTATCCCAAAAATGTGTTTCCCTTGTATTCAAATTGAGAAAGCGGTGGCTATCGATGGCTGAATTAGAATTACCCCTAAAACAGAGGATGATTATAGAAAACTTGTACGCTTTCTAAACGAAACAGAAATAGCACATCATACTTTTCCCCTCCCTGGAGAAAGAAACATTCACGCGGTGCTTAGGAGAATACCAACAACTGCGGAGGAATGTGAAGTGAAGGAAGAGCTAATATCATGTCTCTTCATATAATTCGCTTAAAAAAAGAATGACATACCTCGTATAGTTGTAGTACTGCCGAAGGTGGCAAAGTCTCATTACATTTTCAATGAGCGTGAACTCATGGGCTTGGCTATCTCTGTGGAGGTGCAACTAATTTCTGGACAAATCGATCAGTGCCATCGCTGTCATAATGTACGGCACCTCCCAGATGCGTGAAGTGCGTCCAAGAGTACCTCACCCATCTGTGTCCACTTACAGTTCACGATACCAGAACCTATGCAAGTTATGGCCAAAACCATCCGGCAAATAGCTTAGGCTGTAAATTTGTCTCCAGAAAAAATATTGAATTTTTACGAGAGCGACAGCAGAGAACAAGTTCTCCAAGTTCGAACACAATTTATGCTACTGTTGCCTCTTCCACCAATACAAATTCGGACACTTCACAGTCTGCCCCAGTTGATGATTTAGCAAGTGTCCTGAACTCACTTGAATATAGCTCTCAAGATAATGATACAAGGCGAATATCATTTTTAAAAATTCTATGCTGGAACGCTTGTGAGATAAGGGATATCCGCAAAAAACGTGAATTTCATCATTGATATTGATGGATCTATAGAGAAACATTAATGAAATCGGACGATAGATGTGTCGTCCCACATTCTGATGTCATTCAACCAAACAGGTTGAATGGGAGGGGTGGCGGCTACCACAGAAGCACCAATATCGAGATGCAATGCATCGAGGCAGCTTCTGTCGTGGTCAATATGGCGACGGGCATTACTCTGAAGCTCACATCAGTGTATGTGAGCTATGGTCATCGGCTTCAAAGGGCGGACTTAGAAATTCTGTTGGACTGCCCTGGTCAGTTAATTGTTGCGGGGGTTACAACTCCAATCACTGGTCATGGAATGCAAGGCTCAACACATCCAGCGGTGCTCGCTTGTATAATTATGTCATGCAACATGGATGCCTCATACACTCCACGGAGGAGCTGACACTCAGTTTGTTAACACCAGACGTGATAGATTTTGCTATATCCAGAAATTGCAACTTTAGTATTACTTCTCGTATCCTGTATCTTGGAGGTAGGAACCGAACAAAACTTTGCAGAATCTCTCCTATCAAAGCGTAGTGATTAAGTCTATAAGTCTATACTTGCGACATTTCCCAATATTCCGGTTATACTCGTGGGTACTGAGACCGAACTAGATTCTGCTTTGTCTGAGTGGATAAGGTTCGTGCAAGAGGTACTTGCAAGAGCAGCTACCTTAAGTAGAAAATTCCCTGATTCTCCTTTTCTCCATGCGGATATTCTTGTCCATTTCAGTTCTTTCCTAATTACGACTTGGATAATGACCTTGATGAAGAACACATTCAAAGATTCGTTAGGAGATATTTCAGAGCCAACGGTGGCACAAGTAGCAGCGTATAACCGTGTAAAACCCCTCTTAGAAATTCCACATTGGACTCCTGCGGAACATGACGGTCATCTCAAAGACCTTAAGGTACGCAAAGCACCAGGAGGGGATCAAATCTATAAGAAGGCACTGAAACTGTTGTCCTCGAGGGGACATATCTCCTAAGAATAATTAATGCGATGCTTAGGCTCCAATATCCATCAAGAGACTGGAAAATCGCTATCGCCCCATAAGTCTATTATCTTATCCGTCTAAATTCGCCGGAAAGGTTATTCATACTCATCTAGAGAATTACTGTTTTCATCTCCAAGTAATTCCCTACGTTCAATTCGGATTTCGCGCCGAGTAAGCACAGTACGGAGCAACAGGCAATGAGACTTGTGGAGACAATAACCTCTGGATTCACTCAAAATCAAAGTACTGAAGTTCTTTTTTTGGATATTTCAAGGGCTGTCGATAAGGTGTGGCATGCAGGGCTGCTTTATAAATTGATCAATAAGGGATTTCCCATTTCGCTGTCAACATTTCTTGAATCCTTCTTGGAAGGAAGAATATTCAGGACCAAAATTAAGGATACTTATTCTACGTATCATCCTATCAGTGCAGGCGTCCCCCAGGGCTTGGTTCTCGGTACTCGTTAATGATGTTCCTGTCCCATGGGGGAATAACTGCCAAATATTTAGATGTCACATTAGATAAAACTATGATTTGGAAAACTCATATTCAAATGTTAACCAAAAATGTATTAAGTTTCGGCACTGGTATCCGCTACTGAACCGAAATTCAAAATTAAATCTCGTAGATAAAATTCGCCTTTATACTATGATTGTCCGTCCTGCTTTGACCTACACAGGTGCGGCTTGGTGCTTTGTCTCCAAGTCTCGTGTTCTAATTTTGCAAGTCATGCAAAACAAAATTCTCCGCACTATTATAGTATGTGCCCCATGGTACATCTCCAAGGACACCATCCACAGAAATCTGCAAATACCTACGATCTTTGAACAGATCAAGTTACTGGCCAGGAAGCGTTATGAAAGCGCAAGCTCCCATAGTAACAGTTTGTTTCGTTGCCCGAGTGGACTATACTCCGGCTCAACTACCTAAACATAAAAGGCTCTCTGAGTTATACATCTTTTGGAATACAAATTAAATGAATTTCCTTATTAATTGATTCTATTTCGTTTTTCTTTCTCCCCTTTCTGCTTTTCTTTCTTCCTTTCGTCTTCCTTTATTTTCTATTTAATAAAAAATCTCCCCTGGCTGGGCTCAGGAAGATTTTGAAGAAAGACAACATTATTCTGCCAGACAAGAGCCAAGGACCACTCAAATAACAAACGACGAGACGACAACGGACTGTTATATAACCCAGGGCCGGACTCGACTTTTTTCTTCACTTTTTTGTATTCCATCAAAATCAACAGTTATAAGCTGAACATTGAAATGTTTGACTTCGTACAAAAAAGCAATGAGTAGTGCAAAATAGACTGATTACGACTCGCTTAGTTTTTTAGCTAAACATTTTTATTTATTCGAATGTCTTATTTCTATCAGTTTGTGTGACACAAAACTCAAAATTTCAAGGGTTCTAAACTTGGTTTCGCCAACATGTTACAAGATAATGATTTAAAATAAACTAAAGATGTTTTGAGAACACGAACTTCCAGGGTTGAATTCAGTTCTCTGTACTTTATTAAGTTCAACGACCTGTAAGTTAGGTTAGGTTTCTTGTGAGTGCATCAATAATAACTTTGTTATCGTGCAAATTTTCAATAAAATCGGTTAAATAGTGTCTAAGGTATAAGGTATTAAAGAGATGCTATGTTTAGATAAATCACTCTGTATATGCGTGAAAACTGAATTTAGAACTTTCTTTTTCTCAGATATGATAAGGTCTTAGACCATACTACCTACCGCATCACTGTCACTTTTTTTTATTTTTTTTAAGTAGACGTTGCAAACAAATGCTTGATGTAAGATTATGTGATTACTGATAGATGCATATTACAAATTACATAATTAAATGATGGGGTAAAATTAGTGCTGCTTAATCTACTGGAATTCAAATAGTTTGCCATTATTTTCTAAACATAAATATGAGCTTCTAACAGTAGATTTCAAAACATCACGTAATATTTCTAGTGTAATCATACTAAATGCTTCCATCACACAGTCTCGTAACTGCTCCTCAGTTTGAAAAAAAAAAGTATGTTGGTACTTGGTTTTTAATGATATGCCAAACCAAAACGTATAGAGGAGCTAACGCGCTGGCCGGGACATACCACTGGAGGTTCCATTTCAGCTTTTGGGGAATCGCTGAGAAAGACACTCTCGAACTTGCCTAAAGTTATGTGCAGGAGCACTGTCATGTTGAAACCAACAGCTATTAATTTGTGCCAAACGCAAATAATCTAAGCAGTCTTCTGTTACAGCAATTGAAGGTACCGTTCTGCAGTTAATGAGATGCGGTAAATAAATGCACCTAAATTTTGGTCCCTAGAATTCCACACCACATATTAAATCCAAAACGTTCTTGATGTCTAGACACTTTTTTATCCCGGAGATAATCTAGAGTCCAGTGCTGAGTGTTGCGGCGATTAAAGATACCATTATTATTGACCATACTCTCGTCGGACTATATTTATTTTGAAAGGAAATCAAAATGTTATTCACACGTTCATGTATACCACTCAAAAAATGCTGGCGCCATTTGCTATCTCCTGATCTAAGTCCTTCGCAAATCCTCAATTTATAGGGGTAAAATCTATTCTTATGCAAAATAAATTGGGCGGTGGATTTGGCTACTCCTACATTTTTTTCAATTTGCCTAGTTGATATCTCAGCGTTCTCAGCAACTGCTTGTAAAACAATATTCTGAGTTTCCTCTAAAGATTCCTTTTAAAGAAAATGGACTCACTTGGCCTTCTTTAGAGAAATTTATCAAGATACATTTTTGCAGTGTTGTCAGTATTTTTGTAGCACAAAATTTAGCACGTCATCATGTCGAACTTTTCTTCATTGCTAAAATGACCGCCTGACATCTTTGACGATAATAAAGGAATATTAACCATGCTCAATAATAACAATACTCAAACACATTTGTTTGCAACGCTTACTTAGATAAATAGAAAAATCAGTAAAGACGCATTTTTCCTTATAACCAAGAAAATAAATGTAACATGTGATACATCGTTCAATTCGTATAAAAAATACTAGTAGATACAGGGTATACTTTTTTTGACCTAAAAAAATAGAGTTAATGATGGTTTCTCAGAAACAAACCGTGGAACATAAAATTTAATAACACCAACATGGCTATATAGGACATTTCGACAATTTAATTGCCAATAGAAAAGTTCTATTAGTTTTTTGATATTTCTTAAAATAAAGTTAGAAAAAATAAAAATGATTTGACCAAATTTTAGTTTTTTTTCAGTATATATCTCAGTAAGCCATGCAATTTTTCCTAATTCAACCTAAGGTGTATCTCTCTCGCTCTCTCTACTTCTCGCTGTATCTCCCACAGATAAGGAGATCCCCATGCATAGGATCCTTAATTTGGACTACACCAAACGTAATCTCTAAGGTGGGATCTGCGTCATGTGTAATCAACTGAGGCCTGGCAACTGCAGATATTTCGCTAACATCATTAATTTGTCAGTTCAAAAGATAATTCACATTTGTTCATTTATTGCACGTGTCAAGCACAAATATTTCTTTCCGACATTCGCGCATCTAGCGATTAGTACTTGTTGCGATTTGACATAAAACATTTTTTTTTCAGTTTATCAAAGAGCAACGCACACACGTGAATTAGGCATAAAAACTATCAATCGACTTAAAGATGACATAAATCTACCTAGATCTTTTTCCACTAACGACTTCTCTCAATGCACATGTTTGCTGATTTTAAATACTATGTACTCACAACTAATTGAACATTGCAAAGGAGCAGGTGAGTTCGACAACTATTTTCTGTTGCATATTTTTTTAATTTGTAATCAAATGACGTCGAAATTCTTCTAGGCATGATTGAAAAATTGTTAAGTGCTACCGTTGAATATGCATACGTTTGTTTGCAATCAAAAAATGTTCCACAAGCTGTTAAAGTCCTGGAGGAAGCGCTAGCAGTACTAGATGTAAGTTCTGCCTTTGTATACGGGTCAAAACTAAAATTCCACGAACTGGCTTGGCGGGTTATACCTCACATTGGGATCATGGACTATGGAGGCATGGAGAACAGTTCGGTCTGGATATTCGTTCAAAGTTTGAAGGTTCGGAAAAAAGTGAATTTTAACATTCAGGCAACTTTTCAATTTTTTCTCCACTTCCTCCATCGGGAAGCGTTAAGCCCCATAATAAATGAATATTTCGAAGTAAAATTGTCCAAGGAAGTCAAAAATAACGAATTCCGATATGAAAATTTGTTTAGCAGATATTTCAATCAAAAGTGATTTTTTGGAATTTTTTTCACTGGTTTATTGCGCTGACAGTTTTTTTTCGTAAATAAGATGAACCAGCCTAACCGCCTATATGAATGAAATTTTGTACTTGGGGCTTCAGATTGGTCAGATAGGCCTTCGGATACAACTTTTCGGACAAAATTGGCCATTTTCATGATACCGGAGGGTGTATCATGTCAAATATCAGGCTCAAATGTGTTTTTAGGCAAGAACCTATGAGACTCTGTAAAATACAGATCTCCTAGGTTGAACAGTTCGTTTTGAAGACGCGTTAAAAATTTCGAGATTCGGAAAAAATGTGAATTTTAGTTTTTTGACATTTCCATTTTCTCCCTACTCGTGTCCTTGGAAAGCATTGGCCGCCGCAAGATATGACTATTCCAAAGTAATATTGTCTTGGGAATTCAAAAATGAACTTCTTTTTTTTGTTCTACACCGATGCAGGCAGAAGCCTAAATGCCAGAACACCGCGCCTGTTACGAGGATCCCAAAGAAACTTTGTTTATCCGATTTTTGAATTGCCTAAGATTAGTAGAACTGAGAAAAGCCTCCTCTTGTAGATTGTTCTACAATCTAGCCCCCTAGGTACAAAGGAGCGGTCGTATCGGCCAGTTCTGGATGTACGCTGTTCGACACAGTTAGGACGGGAGACCGAAGTCAGGCGGTCTGTCTGGCACGCGCGTCGCTCAGCGGTATCATGGAGGAGAGCTCTGAGCAGCAGAGCTTTTTGGTGCTGCAGCGATAGAAGATTGAAAAGATATAAAATTGTGATCTGATAAAAGAATCCGGTAGATATTTTTTTGTTGTTTTCTTGGATTGACAGTTCGGGTACGTTCCGAAACAAAAAATCTACAATATTAATTGTTTTCGGGTATTCTGAACTATTTTTTTGTGGATATCTCTTAAAAGCTGCGTTGCCAATGGACATTAAGCAATGCAATTAATGTATTTACAAGATTGCCTCTATAATTAGATCAATCTCCAATAACATCCACAATCTCTTCTAGCATGATGAAAATGCTTAATTTTGGGCCAAAATATCGAAAATGTAGACGCTCAAGATCAAAATGCAACTCATATAGAGCGACAGGATCATTTTTCTCTAGGAGAAAAGTAGTTTTGCGATTTTTGTTTTATTTCGGAAGGCATTCGAATTATCAGCTCAATAAAATAATGCAAAATTTTGAAAAACTGACTTTTGACTGAAATATATGCCTAACATGATCATGATCATGAGATCGTAGGCCATTTTAATTCTTCGGATAATCGTACTTCGGAATAGTTACACATTGCGGGGTCTTACACTTTCCAATGACGGGAGTAGCGAGTAAATGGAAATGTTGCTAAAAAAGCAAAACTCAACATTTTTTCTGAACCTTGAAACTTTGAACGCGTCTCCTGAGCGAACCGCACGACTTAGGAATTTGGGTTGTTACAAGGGGTTATGCCTCAATAGTTTTTCTTCAGAAAACAAATTGACCCCGGTATAAACCATAACTCGCCCTCCAGTATCATAAAAATGACCAATTTTGGTACGAAGTATCGAAAATTGGATCCAAAGGCCTATCCGCATACTTACTATATTACGTAAAACCTATATAATATCAACAAAAACTACATAATTGCGTAAGAAATTGATATAATGTCATGAAAAATCGATATAACATTACTATTTAAGTTACGAAATACGGGCGCAGACCAAGACAACGGCCCGAGTACAAAATTCCATGTATATAGGGGGATACCTATATTCTTTACGAAGAAAAAATGGCGTCAAGTAGATTGACTCTATAATTCCTACGCCTTCGTTGGGGGTTGTAAAGAAGTGGGATCAGTCAAGTCGTTTCAAAATGCGGAGTCTAATCGTGACTAGGTAGGTTGATCTCCGACCTTCTACTCATCAAACAATATAAAAATATTTCTGTTTTTATGGCAGATGTAGGTAAAACAATCGTGCAACAATTTACAATCATTAACCGCATACAGCTTGCAACCTACAACCAAACAAACTCATCCAAACAATGTCAGCAAATGAGCAGAATTCTCTGAAAAGTTGTAACAGTATGTTCCGCAGTTCCGCCGCCACTGAATCAATTTTCAAAGTAACACAAATTTAAGGTTAGGCGAAATGGGCCGGTACATTTAAGAATCATGAAAATATGTGTAGATATAAAAACAATTAAGTCATCATTTACAAAAGCATGGCAAGACGCTGAAGCGATTTGTACGTATACAAAAAAAAAATCGGAAATAATCAGGAGCCTCTGATACATCAAAAACGAAGTTTGGGTTATTTTTTTCGTTTTTGGCCTTTATCTCCGACGCCACAGGACCAATTTTCAAAAACTGCAAAGCTTTTCTGCCCTTGGCATAGTAGTAACTTTGTGTAAAAATATCATCAAAGTCCGAGTGGTAATTCTCAAGTTACAGGCGGCTATAACGCTAGCGGACAGACTGACAGAAGCAAATGACTCTAATAATTTCAAGGCCTACTCAGGAAATTCTGTTTTGTCGAAATACCTAAGGTTTGGCACTGTCAATGTCGTACTATACAGTTTTACAATCAGAATTAAAAAGTCTATTCACCTGTGTAAAAATCCCATATGGCGACTATGAGAAAGAATAAACTCGATAATTGAGGACAAGAGACGTCATATTAAAATTCTAATTATGCCACCATGTGGTGGCAATGTTGATTAATGTACTTCTTATTTTAAAATCCCTTGTCAGATAAAGTCAGGAAACAATGAAAATGATTTTGATAAAATTCGGTTTCTTTCATCTAACTCCAGAAATACTCTGGATTGCCAAACTTTCTGAATACCATTTTCTTAGTTACCTAAATGCACTTTTTCCCCTTTAACTGACTTTGTATCTCTTATCGTTTCTGAGATCCCAATGATGAGAGTTTAATTTGATGCACTCGAGATTTGTGGTTTGATCAGCCAGATAATTGAGTCTTTTGAACATGGTATTTATCTCCAAACGAAATTATTAACAGGGTCCTATGAAGGAGCAAATAGAACTAGATTGGATGGTTGAACTCAAAAAAGGTAAACTGTATGCCCTTCTGGGTAAAGCACGAATGGAAGTTGATGATCCTGAAGCTTACAACTTTTTTATGAAGTCGCTGAAGTGCTATGGTAATCAGAAGTGCATGTAATATAAAGTTTACATAAGTAGAACATTTTATAATACTCAATTCGCCACGATTTTTTCATTATTTAACTACAAAATATGTTTTATAGCAGATCTGTATTGTTTTTATTTTGCATCGTAATCCATTTTTGGTCCATTCCAGGTGTGTCTTTTCCGAAATCGTCGATCAGCAGGAGCTTTTGGAAGTTCAAGTACAAAACAAAGCAGAATTTGAAGTTTTGGTTATATGGAAACTTCTTCGACGGAAAACCGCCAGACGATGATGTCGCCGAATACTGTAACAACGTATCGGAGTGCCTCTGCTTTCTGACTAGATACTTTGTGGTGATTTCTCCTTACTCTTTGTTCTTTTAACTTACAAAGAACCTGCAGGTGTCGAAACGATGTCCTAGGTCCTCGGTAAATCGAATGCCTAAATACAAGTTTGGATAGTATATTTACGACGATACTTTGACACAGTTTGGCATCGATTTAAGTACTATATGGTGTTTACTTTGAGCTGTTGGCAATTACGAATATGTGTATCAGAACTACCTATATTCACAAACGATATTGATTAAAATGTATTCAATTCTAAAAGTTGACTTGAAAAGTAGCCATGCATTGATTGATTCGTTCAGACTGTATTCCAAAACATTCGAAATACTACGAAGTAATACGAACTAGTTCGAAACATGTCACGTTAATTGATGATAAAGCGTTTGCCTTTTGACCATATGGGGTATGTATTTCGAATTTCGCTAAATGATCGGCTGTCGTTTGCCGCTACGTTTTGACGTGTTGAGGCATCGTGATTAATAGTATACATAGTTTCACGGACTTTCCTTTATACGCGAAAGGTTGGGAAATCCCTAAACTAGAGATACTACAGACAAAAATATGTGAATTCACCTAAGCATAACCTTAGTCCAAAAGCTTGTAGTTTGCGAGATACAGGGTGTCAAAGTTGCAATTTTATTTTCTATGTCTTCCTTATTGCTTGAGAAGTATTTCAGATTTTACTGAGCGCCAACATTACCCTTTTCACATCTGCAAAATGACGCTGACCTTACTTTCACCTAACCATTCTCGGTATTCTGCATTCTGTCAGTATTAAATATACTAAGTGACATATAAATCCGAACACCCAGTTTAAATGGTTTTATTTTAATAAAATGTTGTATAACTACTTAATGAAGCATAATAAGTAAATGATAAAAATTTCAAAATGATTGCACTGCTTTAAAGCCCTTTGACCTTTAATAATGTGTGGATGCACCCTGATGTGCTACACATTCTCCAACGCGCCTAGGCATGCTTCTGATCAGGTGGTCAATGTCCTCCTGTGGTATCTCATTCCAGGAAACCACCAACTCCTCTCGAAGTGCTTCTAGAGTCTGAGGAGGACGTTGCAAATTGAGCAATCTCCTACCCATCGTATCCCACACGTGGTCGATTGGGGATAAGTCGGGAGATCTTGCTGGCCATGGTAACAATGTGACATCATTATGTTGAAAGAAGTCTATTGTGACTCTTGCAACATGTGGTCGGGCATTATCTTGTTGGAAAGTTGGATCTGCCAGGGTGTCAAGATAGGGTAAAAGATGGGGTTCTAGAACTTCGTGGATATAACGCTGCGCGTTCATGTTACCTCTGATGAAGATTAAAGGTGACCTGGAACCATAAGCTATAGTACCCCAAACCATAACTCCAACAGTGTGATGAACATGTCTTTCAACAAAAAACTGTGGATTCCTCCTTTCACCACGTCGCCTTCTAACCCTGGCACGACCATCGTGCATGCCTAAACAAAATCGAGACTCGTCACTAAAGACAATACTGTTCCATTCCTGATCCCAGAGTGACCGTTGTCTGCACCACTCAAGGCGATTACGTCGGTGTTCTCGAGTTAAAGGGAGGACCCAGTGTGGCCGGTATGAAAACAAGCCAAAACTTCTCATTCGTCGGTAAACACTTCGCATGCCAATAGGTCTTCCGTGTTCTGCAAACCATTCATTTGCAATGGACCTGGTAGTGGAGAAACGGTCCCTTAAGGCCAATAATCTTAGGCGGCGATCTTCACGGTCTGTTGTTCTACGGCGGCGTCCAGTGCACCTTGCTCTTTGCGTACGGCCTTCTCGAAGCCATGCCTGACAACACCTAACCACAGTGTCTACACTTCTTTGCACTCTAACTGCAATTGCCCGAAAAGAAAGTCCAGCTTTCCGAATTCCCACTAGGCATCGTAACCGATCGTAAAGGATGTCAAGAACCAAAATCCGCCAACGTTGATTCTTTACTGCGGCTGAAATATTCATTTTTAGAGCGTTAGTGAATTTAAAAAAAGCAGTATAAAAACCGGTATGTCCAACTGATAAGGCTGAAAATTTTTTCACTTGTTATTTACAGTAAGATAAATACATTCACCAACTTTTATTAAAATAAAACCATTTAAACTGGGTGTTCGGATTTATATGTCACTTAGTATACATACTAACATTTGATGGTTTATTGAGGAAACAGCTTTGAGAGGCACAACAAACGTGCTTTTTATTGCTTACCTAAAAACTTACAATGTGTTTGAATGCGTCACAGTGACACTGACAGAAGTCATGCCAGAACCTCAATATTTTCGACCAATCACTAACAAGCTTCCAAATTAAAACCTTGACATGTGACTAATCAATATCTCCAACTTAACTAGGACTTCAGCTCAGAGCTATCTTTAACTAATCAACTGATTAATACTTGGACTATGTCTTGCCGCTTCGTATACAGCATCGAGCCAGCATTGCCATTTACACTCTCCTTGATGGTTGAGTTGTATAGTATTCATAGTAAGAAACTTTCAGAATCACGACAAATGGCGAGAGGCGGAATTGGCAGCATTGTGGAGCTTAACGAAAGCGTTGCAAACCGAAACGGATTTCGAAAAATTGTGCATGTCATACTCAAATTTAATACATGTGAGTGCTGTTCAAGGAAAATACAATTTTTGTGTGGCCTTGGAAGTATTTGCCTTGAAAACATGCAGGAAGAAGAAGACATGTGTGGAACTAGATGAACTCAAAGCGGTGGCGCAGCTTTATTTTAATATCAGTAGGAGCAGGTAAGAGACGTATCCATGAAGGAATATGAAAAAACCCCAGAACTAATTCGGAAGCCATAATTTAATTCCAGTATAAAAATAGGTCAGAATCGAATTAATATTAACCTTAAAACTAGCACATTCTGGGAGAACACTTCGGGAAAATTGTAAGATCAAAAGATTATCTACAGGGTAATTCCTAAGCATGCGGCAAAAATTCAACGGATGATTCAATAAGAAACGAGCTTAATGTACGTGATCTGTAAATTAAGTGATGAGACTGACAACGTAAAGATCGGTCAGGCAACACAGGAGGCTCCGGACTTGGGGGGGAGACAGAGGAACATGTGATCCGCCTTCAGCACAAGTTTGAACTCGCTCCAGTCATTTGGTTGTCCCTAGTGTTTTTTTTTTGTGAAACGGTTTTTTCTATTGTGCTCTAAAAATGAGTGACACATCAATTTCAATCAACCGTGTGCTATCAGGTTTTGCTCAAGACTTGAGCAGAGTGCAAGGGAAACGCTCGCTAAACAGGCCTACGGAGATAGTGTTTTGTCAATAGCTCAGGTTCTTCGGTGGTTTAACACATTACTGATAACCGATAAAAATATCGACAGAATCTAGGATCTTGTGCGTTCAGATCGTCAGTTATCAGACATATATGCCAATAAACAAGCTTTTGGCCAGTAAAAACATTCCTGTGACTCCTCAGCCTCGTTATTGAGTTCCCGTAACTTTCTCTTCCCGAAGTTAAATAATCATCTCAAAGGGACTCATTTTGGGACACTTCAGAAGGATGTTATTTTGAGGGTGACAATATAAAATGTAATTATATTTGAATAATAGTAAAAGACCAGTTTCATTACATTCTTTACAAGAACTCTTACTTACTAGGAAGAGTTCGACGTTCTATGAGGAGAAGATTGCATCCCTGCATTCGTCCTGGAGACAGTTATATTGACCATTTTTTTATTAAGGACCTTCTATTCTCCTCAAATATTATTTAATTTCTATTACCAGAACTAATCGACATTGTTATTCGTAGAGCTCGCCGTGGCGAACTGGAAAAATATCTCCATATCAGTTATGTTGCTTGGAGATTGATGACGTCATCTCAACTAGAAACTTTAGTTTTTGTTTCATTGCCATTCTTGGTCCATATGTTACTCCTAAGGCGTCAAGTTACTGAGTTTGGGAACTTGCTTCAAGAGATAAGGGATCTGCTGGATCAGGATCATGACAATTCATGTAAGTTTTGTTAGTTCAAAAGTGACGTGGCGTTTGGCAGCAAATATAATTCATCGGGCTATTGTTTTCCAATCTGCAATTAGGGCCGTATCGTCAGTCGTTCCTAGAATTGTAGGACGCCTTTATGGCCTCCTTGATTTTCATAGTTTTTTCTGTCCTTCAGAAAGGCTGGGATATTTCTAGATTTCTACTGTTCCGTGTCAGCGTCAGCGCTCTTCTATGTAGTTATATATTGTGAAGTTATGTTTTCTTTTTGAATTGTAGGAAATTTCAGGCTGATAAAACAGATGACAAAAATCAATTTAATGCAAGTAGATATTTGTGACATAACTCAAAATAGATTCGGGGACATGGAACAGATAACTATGAAAATTAAGGAGGCCATAATAAAGGCATCTTAAATTGTAGGTACGACGATACGACCCTGAATCTCATGGTTAGAGCTGAAAAACATAGATAAGAATACCGACAACGTATAGGACGGAGACGTAAAGTCGAACAAAATGGAATAGAGTATTGTACCCATCGAGGTAGCACCTGAAACAGCGCTATTAGAATCGCTTTTGGCAACTCAGCACCTTTATATGACGTTACAATCTGGCCTCCTATTGATTGAAGGACAAATACAGACAGATTTCCATTTAGTTCAATGCCTATCTTTTGAATCCTTGTTGTAAATAGCCGGGAACATGTTGGAAATTGTTTGTGTCAATTAGTTATCTATAGTATTGGAATGCGTAAATTGTTTAATGATTTAATTCATTTCTATAGCCCTTTACGAATACGGTTAATTGTATGAAAAAAAGTTAAAGATACTCATCTATGGTACTCATAATAAATGCAAATATGCATTAAACCCTTAGGCATCAACATATTTGCAAAAAAAAATTTGTGACATTTGACTTTTTTTTTTTTTTTTATATATCGAAACAGCCGCGCAGGCAGAAGCCTAAATGCCGAAACACCGCGGCTGCTATGATGATCCCAAAGAAATTTTGTTAATACGATTTTTGAACTGCCTAAGGTTAGTAGAACTGGGAAAAGCTTCCTCCCGTAGATTGTTCCACAATCTAGACACCCTCGGGACAAAGGAGCGGTCGTATCGGCCAGTTCTGGATGTACGAAGTTTGACGCGGTTAGGATGGGACGCCGAAGTCAGGCGGGTCTGTCTGGCAGGCACATCGCGCGGCGGCATCATAGAAGAGAGCTCTGAGGAGCAAAGCCCGTTGGTGTAGCGATAGAAAAGAGCTAGATCGCCGACGGCCCGCCGGTGCGAAAGAGTCCCGAGACTGTCTGTTAGAGAAGAGTCATCGATCAGTCGGACGGCCCTCCTCTGGACAGCATCGAGCATGGACAATGTAGTCGGGGCGGCAGCACCCCAAATGTGTGAGCAATACTCGAGGCTAGGCCTTATCTGGGCCTTGTATAGAGTGAGAAGGTCATGCGGAGAAAAGTACTTCTTAGCCCTAAACAAATAGCCTAGCTTTTTCCCAGCAGCTGCAGCTATTGAAGAGATGTGTTCGTGCCAGATCAGGTCCTCGGTGATCTGGACTCCGACCAGCCGAAATAAATGGCTCTTTGGTAGAACTCGACCATCCATCGAAACTGTATGAGCGCTAGGACGCTTTTTGTTCGTCAAAGTACAGTACTGTGTTTTGGAAGCATTGAACTGTACAAGATTGTTGCGTCCCCAAGCAGTGATAGCCTCCAGGTCTCTTGTTAGAGAAGAAGTCGTCGCTAGTCTTCTTTTTTCCAGCTCAGCGGCAGAGATCGGCTTGTCACTCTGAATTCCTGCATGTAGAGTGCTGTCATCAGCGAAGCTGTGGATTGGGTTGATCGTGCAGGAAAGGAGGTCGTTGATATGTAAGAGAAACAGTGTTGGAGCCAAGACCGATCCCTGGAGAACACCCGCGTTGACGTTGTGGGATGAAGAGGAGAATCCGTCAATTACGACGGGTATCTTGCGGCCAGAGATAAAGTCAGCCACCCATCTTCAAAGCTTTTCTGGGAGGCCGTAGGATGGAAGTTTGCTTAAGAGGGCAGCGTGCCACAGCTGATCGAACGCTTTCGTGATGTCAAGAGCAACGACATGAGCCTCACCATGAGACTGGATGAGTTTACTCCACAGTTGCGTGACGTAAGCTAGGAGGTCCCCTGTGGATCGTTGGTGCCGGAAACCGTACTGCCTGTCGCTAATCAAGCTGTGACGTTCGAGGTAGTCCAGAAGCTCGCGATTTATGCACCTCTCCATCACTTTAGTTATAACAGAAAGCAGAGCTATAGGCCTGTAGTTGTAAGGGCCGGTTTTAGATCCTTTTTTTGGGATGGGCTGTACATGAGCAAATTTCCAGTTTTCTGGGAAGGTGCCGGATTCATAAGATATCTGGAAGAGACGCGAAAGAACTGGAGCAAGCTCAGCTGCACATCTCTTCAGTACAATGGCAGGAATCAAGTCCGTACCAGAAGCTTTGTTGATGTCGAGCGACAAGAGCACTCGTCTTACGGTCTTATGCCTGAATGTTACCTCCCGCATAGTGTGGGGAACCCTTTGAATTGACGGCACTTGGGCGTTGGTGGGGACGTCCATGGTGGAGTTGGCAGCAAAGATCTTGGCTAGCACTTCCGCCTTGGCCTTTGAGTCGAATACAATAGTTCCATCCTGACACGTAAGTGGTGGAAGGCTGCTGTGTGAGAAGTTCTTTTCAATCTGCTTGGCCAGCGTCCAGAAAGACCGACTGCCATTGCGCTGCGACATTACCCTGTGCCTAACTTTTATATCATGCTGGTTTTTGGCATTGCGAACCGCTTCGTTATATTTGTTTCTGGACTCGACGTCGGCTTGTCTGTTCTCTACAGTGGGGTTTTGTAAGTAGGTTCTGTGGGCCTTGATCTTCTGCTGGCGAGCAGTGTCACACGATTTGTTGAACCAGCCGTTGGACCCTGGTTTAGGAACTTTCACTGTGTGAGGGATGAATTCCTCCATTCCGACGTGGATAATTTCGGTTATTGAAGAACAGACAGCCGACGCATCCGCGTCAGTGAAACAGACATCTCTCCAAGGAAAGCTAGAGAAGAAATCTCTGAGCCCCTCCCAGTCGGCATGTCCGTAATGCCAAGTTTTGCGGCCTGTGCGAGTTTCTGCTGCCACAGCGGCTTCGGACCGAAACCTAACCTCCACAACACCGTGATCTGAGTTACCCAGGGGGGACAGGACAGCAGTGCTGTAAGGGGCAGGATGCGTGGTCAGAAAGAGATCCAGCAGGCTACTGGCGTGTGACGAGACGCGGGGGAAAAAAGTAGGGCTCGTCACCAGCTGGGTCAGCCCTTGAGTAAGAGCGAACGCTTCGACTGCACGACCTGCTGCATCGGTCTTATTTGAGCCCAACCAAAGCTCATTATGGGCATTGAAATCACCGAGAAGAACTACCTCAAGACGTGGACACGAGATTTTTTCGACACACAGCTTTTAGAATGCAAAATAAAGGTTTCTACAAGTTTATAGCTTATTATCTCTCATTCCGAGGTTGGACTTTTTCATGGCTTATTATATAATTGGACTATAAGACATTATTTTATATACCCTAGAAATTCTATATCAATATGATTGTTACACATCATACCCTACTTATCCGCCAAGGTGTTGTCACTATGTACATAGTGATAGGTGATTAGCAAAAACCCTTCAATTTTGGTAACCGACCATAAAAACAAATCAGGTTTTCAAGAATATGCCCATTTCAGTGAAATGTTGGTTCTACGCTATGTGTATGTGTCTGCATCTGGATACAGGATTGATCGCCCAGCCATATGCGAAGTGTGTAAAATATATACAAGGAGAAGGAATGGAGCCAACCCTTCGAGACCCTAACGGTAAAGCTCGGTTGATCGTCTGCATATGGTTATGGTGAGTATAGCAAGGACAACATATCATCACCTAAACTACGTTTTTCAAGTTTTTTTAATAACAGAAAATACAGTAAGCATCAGGATGTGTTACTGAGGTCTTTCTGAAGGGTGAATGTCACAGGATCAGTATTTACTGTGGTCCGTATCATCAACATTTTCTGATAATTCCGTAGGTGTCAGTCGATTTCTACATAACATACATGAATAATTACTGACGTCCTGGTTACATAGGCAATAAATATCACACATATAAATCAAATTCAAGCGGATAACCAAATGAAAATGGTACTTACAATTTTGGATTGGTATTTACCGATCCGTTCAAGCGAGTGTGGTTATCAGTTTGGTTATAAGATCCGTGACGCATGAATCAGCTGTTATATGTCACAGTTATCACTGACAAATGGTGGTATTTACCTAACTCAGGGGTAGTTTTATATTTCTAGTTATTATTTGAAATGTGACAAGTTAGAATTTTGCCGTGTATTGGATATTTTTATTGTACTTCAGCTTCATTTTTGGGAAACTTGATACAGAGGCTGTCTTCAGTTTTAGCATAAAGTAGAGCATCTTATTTGTTATAATCATTAATGTTGTTGGGGACACTTTAAATCTAGTTCCTATGCTTAACAAAGTATCCTGTGTAGCCATATACCACAAGTATATTAAAATATGGCCATATAAACTCACTGGATGATGTCCACCTGTATACGGCTTTGCTAATATATTTTTTCATCGCTTTTTCATCATTTCTGCTAAATCAATAAGTGTTTTCTTTGACATGCGGAAAAGTTTAGCGAATTGGAAGTTATCATAGCTACAAAGCCATGGTTCCATCATTAAAATTTTTTTTCTGAAAATAAACATTTCTCCCATTAATATTATGGAAGGTTTCTTTTTTTAAACTTGCTATACACCGTTGTAGACGAAAAAGCACCGATTATTAAGTGATAATAAAAATAATCAGAAATTATATACGCGCTTTTCTGAAATAAACATCTTGCAACAAAACCGCGGTTAAAACCAACGCGTTCAAGCGATTCGAGTAACTGACATCAACCCGTGTATCATTTTGAACCATATTATAACCACGGTACATAACACATAAATTTTGGTTATTCGCTTGGATTTGATTATACATCATAAATTCTGACGCATCACAGTAGATAGAGACAAAGAGTCCCTATAAAATGTATTTACCAGGGAACGTGGTATTTATTGAACGCGTAGTGGGGATTCACATCTTGATTTTTAAGCTAGTTGACTTGAAATCAAGTCAAGCTCAAGTCAAGTAGCAATCTGATATCAAGTCAAGGAGTTTTTACGTCTGTCGGTCAAGTACTAAAAAATTCAAGTAGTCTTGATATTACTTGATAATTTTTGTAATATAAATACGAGTAGATTATAAATATCAACGGAAATATTTTATTTGTCACAAGTTACGGAGAAAACAATACTTATTGAACAAAGTAATTTGTTCATCGTATAACAAATAATAGAACTATAAAACTGTCAGCTCAAATAGAAAAAAAACATGTCTTCATAAGCTTTAATTAATGGAAGTGACACCTCTCCGGTTTTTGCACCACACTCGTATACGATAATGATTGTTTTCAAGTTGTGCCTTTATACAAGACGTATCATAGCTAAAGGTGTGGTCATTCTATTTTGTTCTTGTAAAATTAGTTGCTTGAATTTGGTTCATCATAGAAAACATGTATATCTGTCTTGTGTGCCCGCGCTAATCGAAAATGGACTTTTCAGAGATGGCGTTGCGTGTCCCAAAAGGCCTTGATCCGGTCCTGATTTTTCTTCATAACGATTTTGTCGTTGAGTCTACCAAATTTACATAACACTATCCACTGATTTCGCGTTTTTGGGTTTGACAACGCTGTTTGTATGCATAGTTGGAAATGGCAGTGTAGGTCTCGTGAAAGTTTTCGATTTTCTGTGATTAATTGCATTAAAATACAAAATACGGCTCATCGATTGTACAAATAAATACGAATGTACGTCTTGCGTAGAACAGAACAAAAATATAATTTGCCATCATGTATCAAGTAGTTTGAAAATGCTTGACCTCATTTTTTTTTTCAAGTCAAGTAGCTTATGAAGATATCAAGCTTCTTTACTTGATGAATCCCTACAGCTTAGCCTGGATATCAGTGTTTATTGATGTATCATCAGTAAATACTGATGGCATGGACCATAGTAATTACTCATCGTGTGGCATTCGCCTAACCCGTATCAATTACTTACTGCTAATCTAATAAAAATTCTTGCGGCTTTCAGTACATGACTTGGACAAATATGGAAATCGGTGATACATTTTAGGGAAGTGAGAAATGAAAACTGGGAAGCCGCAACGGTTTGGCAAAAGACAGCTTGGGATTTTACAATACAAGATGAGGGTGAATCAGTAGGAAACTACTTAACTTGTATGTATCTCATTGAAGGACTGATCATTTATATGGTGTATAAAATGGACAGAAAGAATCTAACAGCCATTGCCAGAGCTGATTCGTTACTGAAAACCTTATTCAAAAATATCACAAAAGCTCAAAAAGCTTGCCGACTCATCACGCCCAGGTTAGTGTTATAGATAGATACGAGTAAATATGCTTCTTCACTGTCTTAAAAATGCAATCATTCTTTATGACATATCTAACTTAACACTGACATAACAATTGAAATAGCGGATCTTGAGTAAAGATATTGTACGTCTCTTTCAAGTATGATACGTTTCAGTTTTTAGTTATTAGAATGTTTTTGGGTTCATCGCGGAATATATTAATTTAATTTGTCGATTCTTTCGATGTCATCAGGGAGAAAATCATTATAAATTATTAAATGTTCCACAAGTGCTGATTTAGGTTGTTGATCTTGTGTTCTCTTAATATCGTATCGTTTATTTAAAAAAATGATAACACAGGCGAAAAAAATGTTTTTTCGTGTGTCCAATTTTTTATTCGCTTTTTGAGTCGCTGAATTCAAATTTGGTGTTATTTCAGAAGGTCCGAGGTCAAAATTTGAAGTTACGAAGGTGAAGAGTAGTGAAAAATTAAAAAAAAAATCCGTTGTAAAGGATTACAACTCTGATTGACGCAGTTAACCAGTGGCATGTGATGAGAATTGTTAATACAGGTCTTAAAAGGAGTTCTATGAGAAGTTATATGAATCGAGATAACCCACATGAAAGAAGGGGTGGACAAAATGTCCTTCTTTGGTTCTAAAAAAAATTAGGCGAATACTATGATGAAAGATGAAACGATTTTATACCTGGGGATTTTCACACCTAGCCCTTCCACTCTAATCAAAAAAATTAAAATCGTTAGTAGAGAATCGCTTTTTTGGTGGTTTTGGTGGTTTCGTTCTTTGTCCCAGAGTCGAAAGACCAAGCCTGGACCATGCTGATGTGTAGCCAGAAAATGGCGTACAGTGGATTGACTCTGCACTTCCTACACAACGCCGTCATCAGTTCATAAAAGATTAAGTTTAGCGCAATTTAAGTCCTCTGAGAAAATATTGACCTACTGACATGTCAAACAGAGAAATTAAATGTAATAAGTCAGTCAAAGAGGCTCATGCGATTAGCCTACAGACATTTTCCCCTGGCCTTCTGGTAGTTACCGAGCATGTGGCAACGTTGTCCCTTTCCATATATATAAGTTAGACTGGTTCACCAGGTGGTTTGCATTGATAGCACGAGTACGCGGATAGAAAACATTTCTCTATTATCTTCAAGCAAATGTACGGCTAAATCTATGATGTGTGAAATAAGGTTAGGTGAATAGAATTAAAAACAAATGTCAAAAAAAATCTTACATAAGAATTAACTTACAAATAGTATAATTCAGCAAATTTTAAAAAAAATAAAAACCACCGAAAGAGTGATTCGGTTTTGATTTTTTTATTTTCACCCCCATTACCTACTTCAAATGTTGACTTCGGACCGCCTGAAATAACACCGAATGCGAATTCAGCGACCCGAAAAACATCTAAAAACATCCTGATCTCATATGCATATGAATTTTCTTGTTGGCCTTTCCATGGACTAACCGCAATGGCTTAATGCAATAAAAAGGCATACAGTTTTAGTTTTATGCCAATACATAGGGAATGCTGAGTCAGTCAATCTGTTTTCTTCTATAACTTCAATTATATCTGTTTGCAGATTATATCACTTGAAAGCTTATTATACCATAGCGAAATTTAATGATTACAAGAAAGGCATCGAACTGCTCAATAAGGCGAAAAAGTTTGCTGAAAAATACTGCAATGATTTAGAATCATCTTGGATAAAACACAGCGAGCTTGTAAGTACTGTGTCTTTTATAGGGTAAAGTTGGGTAATTTATACCACTTGGCATATCTTATTTTATGGAATAACTCGTGAATTGAATACTGATTTAGAGTAAGATTATTTTGAATATGCATAACATAACCGTACAAATAGCGAAGATTCATTTACAGAACTTGAACATAAGAATCACCAATTTGGAGCACATTGGTATAACAAAAACATTATTCTGACATACAACTTGTTCGATTGAAGCACAAAAATGACACATAGATTACACCTAACCATATCCCCTATAAGATATTCCGGTATAATTTAACAAACCAAATCGCCGAACCTCGCAAAATAAACCTTAGCCGCCGTAAAACGATTATAGACACACAGTCTTATCTAAGATTGTACAGGGTGCAGCAGAGAGGACGGACGTTTTTGGGATGGGTAGTACTCTCCGCCTCCGTCTACGAGAGACGTGGGGAGCGTGCCGTTTGACTCGTGAGATCCTAGCATTATTTTACCAGTTGTCGTTATGGCGCCTTGGACGGTGGACCACCGCGTTTTCGCCTATGATTGTTTCGTCCGGAATAATGAGTTAGTCATCGTCGTACAGCGTGAGTTTCGTCGCCACTTCAACATTCATCGGAATAGAGCTGTACCCTCTTGAAACACCATCCTTCGTTGGGTTGAATCACTTCACAGGCGTGGTGAACTGATCAACAGGAGCGCCGCGAACAGTTCGAACTCCTGAAAATGTTGAACGCGTTCAACAGGTCTTTCTTCGCAGTCTGATTCGATCTGCCCGGAAACATGCTGCTGCACTTCGCCTTAGTGATCGTTCGGTAAGGCGAATTTTGCATATGGATCTCCGCTTTCACCCCTACAAATTGGCCATAGTGCAACAGTTACAGCCCGGAGATTATGCACAACGAATGAACTTCGCACGTGAGATGGAAGCACTGATCGATCAAAATAAGAACCTCATTTTGTTTATGAGTGACGAAGCCCACTTCCACTTACGCAGCATGGTTAACCAGCAGAATTGTCGTTATTGGGCTAATGAAAATCCGCAACAGTTACACGAAAGACCGCTGCACAGCCCAAAAGTAACCGTTTGGTGCGCTGTATCGCAAACTTGCATCATTGGCCCTTACTTCTTCGAAGACGGTAATGATCGAGATGTTACCGTGAACTCAGAGCGCTACGTCGACATGATCACCAACTTCTTTCTCCCTGAATTACGACGGCGACGTATTCCAATCCGACGTGTGTGGTTCCAGCAGGATGGGGCGACCGCCCACACAGCCCGAGCATCCATATGCGATTTTTTATTATGGGGACACCTCAAGGCCAGAGTATACGCGAACAAGCCCCGAAGTCTGGACGAATTGAAGGGCGAACTTCGCGTGGAAGTCGCCCAACTTGAGAGAGCGATGTTGGAGGGAGTCTACGCGAACTTCCAAGAACGCCTCCAGCACTGCATCAACGATTTCGACCACCACATACCTGATGTGATTTTCCACACTTGACTGTCTCAAATGCTAGTTCCTTGTGAACCTGATTCCATCAATAAATTTGTTTTCGAGAAAAAATTAACTATTTTATGATTTTTTTAAAACCGTCCATCCTCTCTGCCGCACCCTGTATAATACTGCGTGAATACGTTTTATAGACATAAATTTCAACTTTTACGAACGATCACCAGTTATAAGTTTGATGCCAAGAGAGAGACGTAAAACAGGCTAGTTAAAGAAATCCATAATTTAGTAAATAATGGGGTAGTAAAACTTGTACAATATACCCGACCTTTCCCTAAATAATGAAACTAAACCAACAAATAACGTTTGTGTAATTAGGGTAGTTTACCGTACGCTAGTGTTGACGCGGTGTATCTTTGAGTACGGTGAAATCCGGCATTACCAGTGGCGTATTCTCCTAATTTTGTACTTGGCTGTAATTCTCTTGGAAATTGCTATTTCATCTAGCAAAAATGCAAACATATTGCGATGGTACAGGCTACTCTGACATAGGTCATTGACTCTTTGCTACCTCCTGGACAACCAGGACATTTTACTGGACTAGTTTTTTTCAGGCTTGGGTTCATAAGATGAGTAGAGAGGAGTCAGAGTATTGGAAAGAACATTGCGAAGAAGAACACATAGTAGATTTTCAAGAAGTGGAGGCAGCAGAAAAACTTGGACATTACACTCTACCATTGCCCATTTATATATGAATGTATACAAAATGTTTCTAGTGTTTATTATCCAATCTGTTATTTTACGTACGTGGAGGTATTACAATAAACATATTTATTTACGGCTTATTGTATGACAAACATATCATATGATTAGTCTACATATACTCAATTTGCATTAGTTGATGAAGTATTTTCCAACTTCACAAAATTGCATTTTTAACAGCTGATCAAGATTACTTATTTCCTTTTGTAAGATTGACAGAGTTAACTCTCCTTTTACTACACGCGTGTTGAGAAAGTCTACCAATGGAAATTAGTTTTTGAACAGGATAGAATGTGACCTTACAATTCAAATCAAAATATCTATGTCAGAGAAGCAATGCTATTTTTCTCCCACATAATAAAATACCTTAAGGTATTCATTCAGGGCAGGTCAAGGAAAAGTTTATGATGTTACGTAAGGTTGCCGCGAATTTTTTGAAAGGATTTCTTGATACTCCTGCTCATGAAGTGAAGATACACAATATACAACGTTTAGATTTTTTTGAGAATACCGCATTCGACAAAAAAGATCAGAATATATACTGGATATGAAAACTCCCTTAATGATATTCGATACAAGTATTAACACACCTATCAACGATCGAAGCAAGAACGTTGATACTATTATGGTCCCTGTATAATGGCCGCTAGTATCGCATATCGATACTGTAACAAGAATAAATAGTACCGTTGGCGCCATCTGTTTGGGACAGCGTCAGACTCTCCTACTCGCCAGCTGCTTCAACACCGATCTCTGTCGAGGACCGTGCCAGTGACTCGCCTTCTAGATCGACGCGAAGTGACCTAGACGATTCTGGAAGGCCGCTATGTGGCTCACCAGAATCTTCTCGACCCACGATGCTCTGAATTCCTGCATGTAAAGTGCTGTCATCAGCAAAGCTGTGGATTGGGTTGATCGTACAGGGAGGTCGTTGATATGTAAGGGGAACAGTGTCGGAGCCAAGACCGATCCCTGGAAAGCGCCCGCGTTGACGTTGTGGGATGAAGAGGAGAACCCGTCACTTACGACGGATATCTTACGGCCAGAGATAAAGTCAGCCACCCGTCTGCAAAGTTTTTCTGGGAGGCCATACGATGGAAGTTTGCATAAGAGGGCAGCGTGCCACAGCTGATCGAACGCGTTCGTGATATCAAGGGCAACGACATGAGCCTCACCATAAGACCGGACGAGTTTACTCCACGATTGCGTGACGTATGCTAGGAGGTCCCCTGTGGATCGCTGGTATCGGAAACCATACTGTCTGTCGCTAATCAAGCCGTGACGTTCGAGGTAGTCCAGAAGCTCGCGATTTATGCACCTCTCCATTACCTTACTTATAACAGAAAGCAGAGCTATAGGTCAGTAACTGTAAGGGTCGGTCTTAGATCCTTTTTTGGAAATGGGTCGGATATGAGCAAATTTCCAGTTTTCCGGAGAGGTGCCGGATTCATATGATATCGAGAAAGAACTGGAATAAGCTTCAGTACAATGGCAGGAATCGGGTCCGGACCAGAAGCTTTGTTGATGTCGAGCGACAAGAGCACCCGTCTTACGGTCTTATGACTGAATGTTACTTCCCGCATAGTGTAGTGAACTTCTTCCGCCTTGGCCTTCTACCCTGACACGTAAGTAGTGGAAAACTACTGTGGAGAAGTTCATTCCGGTCTGCTTGGCCAGCATCCAAAAAGACCGACTGTCATTGCGCTGCGACATTACCCTGAGCCTAACTTGTATATCGTGCTGGTCTTTGGCATTGCGAACCGCTTCGTTATATTTGTCTGTTCTCTATAGTAGGGTTTTGTGAGAAGATTCTGTGTGCCTTGATCTTCTGCTGGCGAGCATTGTGACACCATTTGTTAAACTAGCCGTTGCACCCTGGTTTAGGCACTTTCACAGTATCAGGGATGTATCCCTCGATCCCGAAGTGGATGATTTCGGTTATCGAAGAACAGATCGCCGACGTATCCGCGTCAATGAAACAAATATCTCTCCAAGAAAATGTATAGAAGAAGTCTCTGAGCCGATCCCAGTCGGCATGTTTCTAATGCCAAATTTTGCGGCCTGAGCGAGTTTCTGCTGCCACAGCGTGTTCTGACCGAAACCTAACCTCCATAGCACCGTGGTCTGAGTTGCCCAGGGGTGACATGACAGCAGTGCTGGTCAGAAAGAGATCCAGCAGGCTACTGGCATGTGACGCGGCGCGCGGGATAAAAGTAGGGCTCGTCACCAGCTGGGTCAGTCCCTGAGTAACAACGAACGCTTCAGCTGCACGCCCTGCTGCATCGGTCTTGTTTGAGCCCATCCAGAGTTCACTATGGCCATTGAAATCACCTAGGAGAATTATCTCTGGAGCGGGGTGATTGATGTTCAGGAAGTCGATCTTGACGGCAAGGTGTTCAAGTAAGTCATCCCAGTTTTGGTCCGAGGGAGAGCAATAAAGACAGCAAATAAATTTGGGAGATGTTTTGGAGTTGAGGCGAAGCCACAGAATGCATTTCCGATCTGACTCCAAAGAAGCGTCTCTGGAGCCGGAAAGACTCCTGTGGACAAATCCACAACTTCCCCGTTCTTTCTCAGATTGGAGTACACCTCGTAATTTGGGAAGTTAAGATGGTTAATCGGTGCAGAATCTGAGATTTTTGTCTCGGCCAAGAAAAACATGGTGGGGAGATTGAACTGCAAGTAGTGATGAACAGCATCAATGTTGCTGTTCATCCCGCAGATGTTCATAAAACAAATTTTATCTTCGATGTTGTTCCCTCGAGTCTACCCTCCACCCGGACATTCCGAGAGTGGAGTGAGTTTACGTCCGAAATTGTTAGTGTTAGTACATTCTACATTACTAATCTCCTGTTTTTTTACGTAATATCCCATAGATAATGGAAATAGATTTTAATTACTGATTTAGGCAATCTCGACCAATGCCTATAGGCAAAGATGAACTTTACAATTTTAACAAATAATAATTTGCGAATGATCTTCCAACTTTTTTGCGTGCCGGGCTACAAGCATTAAAACATAAGTGAGTATCAATATTTTAATAAGACTTGTTTACATTCCACTTTTGCCAAGAGGAGAGTACCATCCTGTAATTTTTAATCTGGTATTGATTCGATGATAATTCGCAAATTATAATCCAACTACGCCTAATGAGTCTCATCACCACCTAGTAATATAAATACACTTAAAAGCATCATTGGTCTGTGAATAATTGCAGCAGCTTGTCGAGTTGTCAAGTCAACTCAAACGATATACATCAAGTAACCTCAGCCGTATCATGGGCAACTCGCAAAAACCAAATTGTCGTTTTTTGTTGTAGCAGATACTTGGAAATAACGAGCTTATTTTAGAACCGCCGTGGGTATTTTGTTTGAACTCACCAGATTTACGGAGATTCATCAATGTCGCCGTAATTATTGTATATTAAAATCTATGTTGATTCCAAGATTATTTTTACTTTCATATCGCATTTCCAATGCACCAGACACATTCGGTGACTGCAGCAAATGGAAAGAAAGGCTACCCTGAAATAAAATGGAGCATGTAGGTAAGAAATATATTGTAGCAATATTTGACTGACTATGGCAAATATAGCCCATTATTGATTGACTATGGTGATTTTTAAATCAGCTCAAAATTATCATAGCTAATCATACCTATGTATGGTGGGAAGGCGACATCGAAATTAATTTCAACGGTAGAAATTCAGTTATACCCGTTTTACAGCAAGCAAGTGCAAGATAGATGTTAACCAGACACGTGCGCACTAACAAGACAGCTGACTTTTCCGATCATTTTCTTACATCTGCCGAGGTCTTGCATGAAAATCAATGAATTGGATTTGTTAGTAACTTACAAGTTACAAATCCATGCAAATGTCCATAGGCCGGTGGTTTATGTTTTTATATTTAGTTGTTTACAGACATAGGTTTGATATTGGATGGTGGGCAATTGAAACTAGTTTTTGGATATTAAAAAATTGTGTTCTGAAGGGTAATAAACCAAAACCAAAAATATAGGCTAGGATGTGACGAGTAATATATTATTCGTTTTGGGTTTGAATCGTGGAAACAGGGCCGTTTTTCATCTGCTAGTGATTGGATGCAATAAGAAGGTTCGCCATTTTTTGATTTTTACTCAAATCGAGAGATTTTGTTGTTAAAAAAACGATAAAAAAAATTGAGCAAAAAATATTGATATTTACGTCGACAAAAAGCATTTCAAAATCAAGGATCGGCGCGAAGCTGGAAAACGTACCTGTGCGCGAGACTAGACCGCGTGACGTCAGTAGCCAGACACACCTCGCTAGCTGGCCCGCTGCATTTACCATTCTCACAACAACGCCCCAGTAATCGGTTTGGAGTAGTTAGAGCTGGTACGATAGATTATTATTAAATTCTGTGAACTTTGAGAGTGTTAAATGTCGAACAGAAAGTGATGTTTTGTCCCTCGCTTTTAATTAAAATAAGAGACATACAAAAAATGTCGAACCTGCCCACTGTCCTGCAGACAGAACAATACCGTCTAGCCCATTGATTCCCAAAGTGGTCTATATCGACCCCTAGGGGTCTATGACAACCTGCAAGGGGTCTATGACAACCTGCAAGGGGTATATGACAACCTGCAAGGGGTCTACGTCAGCGAAAAAAATTTGGGGGTCCATGAAATGAATATGGGGGTCCACGATAGTGGATCTCAACACATACACTGATAGTACCTATTTACTTACATCATAATATCTTATAATATCAAATAAATGAAATATACATTATTTATAAAAGTACCTATGAAGTAAAAAATGGTATTCGGTTTGTGGTCGCAATACATTTTGAACTTGTAAAAACCTGAGAGTCGCAGTCTCAGAGCTTCGCTACCTTGCACTGGCTTGTTCAATTCGTCACTCTATAAATACGAATGTGGAACAAATACGTTTATTCGTTTCCTGAATCTTGAAAAGGAAAGTGCTAAGAAAATATTCTAAAAAATATAAACAGACAGTATATCACACAAATTATAGTGAGTCAGTGTTATTTTGTTTGAGAGTGCTGGAGAAAAGTAAGTACATTATTTTTTATTAAATTTTAGTTTTGTACTCGTAGTTAGCAAAGATAGATAAATTACGCCAATCATGACTTTAGTTATTAGTAGTTAAATATTCAATCATGAAAAATTAATACTTCTCAGTAGTTTCTTTTTGAAAGTTTTAGCAATCGGTAATATAATTACAGTGCAATCTCCGTAATTCGAGCTAATTGTTGCAAGAAGATGTTCGAATTATGGAATGTTTTCGGAAAAATCAAAAAATATTTTTAATATATAGCTGCTGGATATTCTGTCTTATTTAAATAATTTAATTTTGCCCACAGATGACTGATGCCATGTCCGAATCTAAAAAGAAATGTAGACAGTACAGTGAAATTTGGCGTCATTCCATCATTGCCGGACAAACAATCGCCTATGTGCCTTTTATGCAACAAAGTTTTGGGCAATGACGCTATGAAACCATCTAAACTGCAAGATCATCTGAGAAGATGCCACCCTGATAAAACAGAGAAAGATTTGAAATACTTTCAAACACTCAAAGATAAATTTCAGAAGAGACCTGGACAGAATGTTCGCTTCGACGTCATAAAGAAATGATGATGGTTTGCGGGCGTCTTACAATATCTCGTTACTTATAGCAAAATCCGGAAAACCGCATACTATCGGAGAGAAGTTAATTTTGCCAGCCGTTGAAGAGGTTTTAAAAACTGTTTTACACAAACCTGCATCTGATATCATTAAAAAAATTCCCTTAAGCAACAATACTGTTGAAAGACGTATTGATGAAATGAGTTCTGATATTGAAAGCTTCTTATGTAATTATTTGCAACGACCCATTTCTCTATACAACTGGATGAGTCAACTTTACCTGATAATACAGCATTATTATTGGCATTTGATCGTTTTATTATGAATCAAGAAATCTACGAAGAACTACTCTTCGCAAGAACTTTGATAACCGACACTAAAGGTGAATCAATATTTCATGTTTTGAAGGATTACTTCATTGAAAAAGCAATTCCTTTATCAAATATAATATCAGTAGTTACAGATGGAGCACCTGCCATGGTTGGACGTTATCGTGGATTTATAAGCTATTTAAAACAAAATGTGTCAGGGGTGTTAGCAATACATTGCGTCATCCATCGACAACATTTAGTTGCTAAAAATTTGAGTGTTAGATTGCATGAATCACTTCATTTAGTCATTGATGCAGTAAACCGAATCCGAAGCAACGCGTTGAATACGCGGTTGTTTGCGCAGTTGTGTGAAGAAAATGAGGAACACTTTCATCAATTACTTCTTCACAATGAAGTACGCTGGCTGTCGAAAGGCTTATTTTTGACAAGATTTTTTGCACTTTTTGAGACTATTTTAGAATTTCTGGATACTAAAGATAAAATTTTAAAAGAAAATTTAATGAAGAGGAAAACAGACATCGCCTATTTAACAGATTTGTTTACAAAATTTAATATGGTTAATTTGCAATTACAAGGCGACAGTTTAAATTTGATTAAAACAAAGTCCATCTTATCAGCTTTTCTTGCCAGAGTTAAACTAATGAAGCAAAATATTGGACGGGGCGAATTTTCTCAGTTCCCCAATTTGTCACAGACAAGCTGTCAGGAAGACAACGTTTCAACTTACGTTCAACATTTAAATGCCCTCTATTCAGATTTTGAATTTAGATTTGAGGATATTTTGACTATGGTAATACCACCGTGGATAATTAATCCATATGGTGACATAGAAGAAACGAATGTCATAATACAAGAGGAACTGACTGAACTAAGTACAAACGAAGAACTGGAGGTTCAGTTTAAAAACGGATATCAGCAATTCTGGCTGCAAAACAACATACCCGTTACTTATCCCGTATTATGGAATATAGCGAGGAAAGTTTTAATTTCCTTTCCATCGTCATACCTAGTGGAAAGGGGGTTCAGCGTTGTTACCAATCTCCTAACGAAAAAAATAAACAGACTGGACATTATTGGCCGAGGAGATTTAAGATTAACCCTTACAAAATTGACGCCAAATGTTGATAATTTATTATTAAAGCATCAGGTTCATCCTTCTCACTAAAAATATTGACTTATTGGTTATGTTATTTTATTTATAGTTTATTTTATGTTTATTGGTGTCTGACCAATAAATGCCCGCATTGGGAATAAGTGCCCGCATTGATTTTTTTAAAGAATAGAAATAGAAAATATTTTTTTTAATTATTCTGAAAATTCAAGGATAGGTACACACTAAAATTCGTTGATTTTTTGCCTATTTTTAGATAACTTAAACGTATAAGAAGCGAAATTTAATCAAACTGACAGTGAAATTATTGTAGAACATACGTTTATGTTATAATTAATAAACGAACTCGCTTATTGTACTATTTTAAGTAAAAAACTTTTTTTATTATGTTTCACTTTTTTTTATTTTATCCCTCTTATTTTTTTTCAATGCGGGCACTTATTTACAATGCGGGTACTTATTGGTCAGACACCTCTTTATTTAATGTTACGTATATTTTACATAACAGATATAAAATTTTATTTTTAGTAGTTTTAATTTAAATTCAATTAATAAATGTATAAATTAACATGTGTTTTTACTTTAAGTTTTTAACAATAAACTTCACTACAGTTAGAAATTTACAGGAAATCAATATCAGGTAAGTAGGGGGTCTACCCAATACATGGCAAGGGGTCTACGACAAAAAAAAGTTTGGGGAACTCTGGTCTAGCCTATGCAATAGCTTGCATGCAGAGGTCTTGCGGACTATAAAACGGTTTTTATAATCAGGCCGCATGTTGCAATATATGACAGTAGGCCGAAAATTTCAATGATTTGCAGCATTATAGCCAGGCCATACCAAAAATATTGCCGCGTATGTTGCTGGCTACTCTACTGCAGCTGGATAATGCAGTAAAAATGTTGCCCGTTGGGCATAAGTAAAAGGAAGTCTTGGTTGTAATAAAACATTTGCTAGCTAGATGTACGTGGTTCCGAAGCGCTGTTAGTGTTTGTGGAGGATGATGTAAAGAGGTCCACTATTCCTCTAATGATATCCACTCATGTTCAAGGAACGAAAGATTTAGGAGGCCTAACGAAGAACATGATTGAGTTCATTGTAGCAATATGGGAACGAGATTATCTTGTTGCAAAATAGGGTTCTGCGTTTGGAGAAATATCGATAGCGATAGCCTTGGAATGTGGTTGCACCGTTAAATTTGCAAATTTAGCTTGGTTTTGTGAACGAGAAAACTTGCTACTTTCCGCTCTTCGAAAAGCTTTTAGATCAGGTACACTTTCACAATGGTACGGTGCCGTGACGTCCAGCTGGTAACTTATATTAGGTCTTTCTTGCCTGTACCATCTAAACTACCTCATTAACGCTTAGGTCAGCATCCGTCCTTACTCTCATAGATGTACATACGTGGGATATAGTAGGAGGAAGAGTGATCTCTTTACCTCGACCTCTACATACGCTAACAGCTCTTTGAAACCAAATATACCTAAGTTGGGATGAGAAACTTCAATAAACATAAATTATTTTCTTGGAAAAATTTCTGGATTAATATATATATAGTGTTATATGTAGGTATATGGCATCGCTCGGCACGGGTATTATGTAAAAAACCTATAAAACGTAAAAAAACTATTAAATGCCATCTTGCAGACTAGGTAGTTTTTAGGGTGCAAATAGTCATTCCACGTTTGCTCACTAGGATCGTTGTGAGCGTCCACCTATGGAAGGATAGCTCAACTACACGCATTGTTGGTTGTATATGTTTTGTGAAGCCAAGAAGTCTATAGTTTTCATCTCTGAGAAGAAAGGTGGTTGAATAGCAAGATCGCATCTGGATGATTGAGTGTATTTGTCTGCATGTGTATTAGATCAGTGATATTTGTTGTGTGAGAAAATCATTACTGAATATGCTGCCAATGAAGTATATCTATGAGCTGTGCCCGACGGGTTCTTTATATGTAGTGTGTAATTACTGTTAGCATGTATATGAATTGTAATTCGACAGTGTACAGTGAAATATAATTATTTATCTCTCTCTTGTCATTTTTAAAATTCAGAAAATTTGCATATGTAATTTCCAGAATGGATAAGAAGAAGTGGATGCACAACTAATTTCTAGCTATGAATCTCAAGCAGGTGTATATGAGACCAGGATCCAATGGAAATATCATCAACACATATTATTAGCAGACAAATCCTCACTATGCACCTATGCATTGGCGTTACCTCCAGTAGTGCCATCTTATTTTACATCACATCAGAGCCAAACAATGATAACTGAAGCCTCATGACGCTTAGGCAACACTTACAACTATAAAAAGAATTCACAACGTGTCCATCAGCTAGTGCTAAGTTAATATGTTGTAGAAAAACCTACATAATGTCACAAAAATCAACATAAGTAAAAAAAAACGACATAATATCACTTTTCAAGATACCTACGTAATACCCGTGCGGGGCGGCACAACACATCAAAGTTGTAAAGAGTAAAACTAAGCACGATGATTTCGTCCATCCAACCAAAAAGACAGCCAACCATGGACAGCTGTTTCGTGCTAGCTGGCTACTAATCAGCATGGTCTCTTGTCTGATTTCGATAGACCGTACCTCCGGTATAGAGCATAGTTCCGATGCTTTCGTTGGTTCGTCCAGAGACAAGTGATCAAGTGATCAAGCCTGGTTATCTTTGTAATCGAACACATGAAAGGATCATGTTTAGTTTATTTAATGGCAAGAAGACCTTTTTTATTTCACAGCCAGGATCGTCAGCCATCTATCGGTCACGCGGTGATTGGGTTATTAAGCGCGAGTTCCAACTAATAGCAGCTTTGCGCTTTCCGCAGTGGCCGATTCTGATGTGATAGATGGAGCTTTGCGCTGTCTTATTTGTGGAGAGTTCACAATCATACATTGGAATCAAACATTGGATTGTAATGAAGCTTCTCGCAAACACACGGGCCAATCTGCATATTTAAAAAAATATATGAGTGGACACTTATTATGAACCAAGAACACGCCTAATATTCTGAAGGCTGATATTTTGCTTGTGGCAAATGGCACAAGTAATTGCTACCTTATTTTGAAGAAAATGGTACTTCCTTGAAACACCACATCTGGCTCTGATATACGCGTGCACGAGCCGAGTTAATCACAATCTTGAAAATAAGAAGTTTTAAACGTAAATTTAATAAAAATAAACTTGCTGGTAATGTCTATATTTGCGTCAACTAAGTATCTCAAGTACGGACAGCTCCACTTTTGTTACAATGAATTACCATATAATTCCATGAAGAGGCAGTCATAATAAGCTGGAATCCTATAATTCGTTTCATGTAATTTCCTCGAAACCACAAATACTGTAAATATTTCATTTGTCCGAATCAGTGGCGGCCCTCATAGGGCAAACATATTTACCTACTGCAATCTTATTAGAACGGTGTATACTGAGACATAGAGCGTCTTTATCAGAGCAGTTGCCGATATCCAAATTTGCATATATTTTCCACTCACCGTATTTTATTAAGAATACAAGGTGTGAATCATGTTATGATTTAATAACCTTTAACATAGTCATTAAAAATACTTCAATTTTTTTTTATGAGTAATAGTGGTTTCAGAATCCCATCTACGATTTAGGTGCACATAAGAAGGTGGCTTTTTTCCTACTACATAAAGTAATTTTTTACTCTAGAAAGGTCTTTCCTTCAACAATGAATCTATATGATGACCATATAGACATATTACGAAAGGAACTAATGAATTACATGGCAAACGATTTAAAATGTCTGTTTCTGAAACCGCTTTTTTCCTTTATGAATAAATAGAATACCTATTATATTTCCTTCCACAATTTACTATACCTTTTTATTTAAGTAGGTAATATCTTTGATAAGCTATTAGGCACAAAACATATGGGATCTGACCACCGGTCAAATTTAGATAATCGAAATTCGTTCAGTGATAGTTCATCCTGAGTAGATCAAGTGTTCCGATGGGTTTAAAGCCAAAAATGCTTTTTATTTTGAGATACATGGGTCAAAAGATTGGTGCCTTAGCCGTTGGCACTTGTAAAGTTTCTCAATTTCTGAAAAAAATGAATTTTTCCAAAATTTATTCTGATATTTAAGGTAGGATTTCAAAATAAATTGCTAATTAACATTGACACTTTTTCTCCCGTACAAGGTGACATAGTTAGTATCTCAATATGATTTTTCGTCTCTTGTTCTCAATCATCAACATTATTTTTGCATATTGATGGCATATTGGACTTTTGCACGGATGCACAGTTTTTAATTCTATTTCCAAAAATATATTATATGGCATACACTAACATTGCCAAACCTTAGTTCTTTAATTTTTGTAAAATGCCCTGAAATTGTCAGTTAGTTGTTTCATGTTGTGACGGAAACAGCTTTTTACTTTTCAAAGTCTAATTTATTACTCTTACACTAATTTATAAGCATTCCTTTAGTTTTTAAGAACTGGGATCAATGATGTAATATTATAATAAGTATATTATATAAGTAGTCTCCCTGTAGTTGGTATTAACTCATCCAACGAAAAACGTTTTGATCTTATTTAAGGGAAGCACTGGAATTTTTGAAAACAGTCTCATTTTATGTGAGTGATGGAAACATTTAAGAATAAACAAATGCCTCGACGGTGTTGCAGCTTCTTAAACACGTTTCACATCCATATCTAAATCGATGCACACTTCTTGCATTGAAATAAAATTTATCTATGGCTGAGTTGTCATGTGAATCGCCTCCATCGTGCTCAAATAACGCTTGTTATAGTCGATAAATGAGCAAATTATCCGAATGTTCTTTAAACTTGCTCCTCAAAA